GAAACGTCAACTTTCCTGCTCCTCTAATGCTGCCTGGCCTGCTGTGTTTCTCCAGCTCCACACTGCGTAATCTCTGACTCCAGCATTGGCAGTTCTTACTATCCCATATTTTAAGGGTCTGGATTTCTCTCTTCAGAATTTGTACTTGGCCAGTTTAGGGAGCTTGCGAGAGAAAAGGATTTGTTCTGTCATAACAGAAAATCATTAATGAGATGATTTAGTAATCTTGCCATTTTATTAGTAGGAATTAAAAAGTAATCAACTTTAAATGGTAAGTAACCTGCCATGATGAAAAAAAAATCAAAAGTTATAACACCATATCCAATAAAACCCAGCTTGATGTTATTTTAAACTATTCAAGAATATCTAGGAATTTTAAAGAATAAAAATATCAGTCAACATTTAAAGTAAAATTTTACCTTGAAACCCCAAACAATGAAGGTATCTTCTCCGTTTAGAGAAAATATCTTTTCGAGCATTATATGAGGGTTTCTAATACTTCTGAAATCTACAGTGACAGGGTTTTACTTTTATATTGATCCCCCCTGTTTTGAAAAACCTTGCAATTCTTACCCAATTTCACATGTTGCTGTATCATTTAACCTTATTCCTCAATTATTTTAGTGAAGATTCCCTTATGAAGTTGTGAACTTTTATCTGGTCAATTTGTTTGTTATGTTGTATAACTGCTATATAAAATTTCCTTATATCTCTCCCTTACACTTTTCAAAAATAAACTAATCCTTTGTTAAAAGTTTATCAGTAAAAGGATGTTTATTTTTTCTGTAAAACAAAATCTGAAAAAAGTATGGACGCTGTAAATCAGAAACAAAAACTGAAATTGCTGGAAAAGCTCAGCAGGCCTGGCAACATCAGTGGAGAGAAATCAGAGTTAATATTTCAGGTTGAGTGACCCTTCCTCAGGACTGTTCTGAAGAAGGGTCACTCAAAGCATTAACTCTGATTTCTCTCCACTGATATTGCCAGACCTGCTGAGCTTTTCCAGCAATTTCTGTTTTTGTTTATTTTTTCTGTCTTTAGCTTTGCACACGTTTCTATTTTTCACATGAGTGTTGTTTGATCCCATTGTCTCCTGCTGTTTGTATCATAAGGATCTTTGCTTGCTATCTTTTATCAGTTGGATATTTCAGGTTTTATAGTTCCCATACCTCTCCTGTAATGAACATTTTGTTTTCACATCTAAGTGAAATAGAGCCATATCATTTTCAAGGCCTACTCTTTTTGATTTAATTATTGTTTACACCTTTTTGTTTTGTCTGTTAGGAGGAAGTACGTTAACTTAATTGATAGCACTTGTGTGTTATCCCTATGTCCCCTTCCAGGTTTCTCCTAAATTCAGGGTAGACCTTGCTGACATTTTCTGCTCACTCTGATGGCTCCTTGAATGATTGTCTTCTTGTTCTCATGAATCTTTGGCTTTAAGTGTTTTTGCTATCAATACGTGTCCTATCTAATTATTTGCAGTTGTTTATCAACCTAAACTACATTTCTAACAAGATAACATCACAACAAGACCACTGAGTGGAACATCATATCTTGAGGCTTGTGGGTCGGTTGGCTGGGATGGCTGCTTTGTGATGCAGAGTGATACCAACAATGCAGGTTCATTTCCTGTACTAGCTGAGGTTACCATAAAGGTCCTGCCTTCCCAAACTCACCCCTAGCCTGAGGTGTGGTGACCCTCGGGTTCAACCCACCAGCATTTGTCCTTCTCTAATGAGAGACCACCTCTATGGTCTGCTGGGACTTTGCTAACTTTACCTCATATTGAGGTATTTGTACTGTAGGAGAAGTGTTTGTTCACCGGGTAGAACTAACTGTTCAAAGCCATGAATCTTATTGACATTCAGCAACATACAAAAATTGAACTAAAATAGAAATAAGTTTCCTGTATTTAAGTTTTCTTGTAAACATGATAATTTGAAACTTAGAATACACTTACTTTCGCCAAAGGTTTTTTTATTATTCTTACTTCTTTTATGCTGAAAGACGGTCAACTCTTTGCCTGGGGACAGAACACTTATGGCCAGCTCGGTCTTGGTACAACAGATGCCTCCCAGCACAATCATCAGCGTGTGATATCCCTCATTGGGATGCCAGTGGCACAGATCACTGCAGGAGGAGAACACAGCTTCGCCCTGTCTCTCTCTGGGGCGGTGTTTGGATGGGGAAGAAATAATCACGGACAGCTGGGACTCAAGGACACAGAGGGTAAGAACCTTTACAGAAACAGTTACCCCTCCTTTTCGTTTCTACTAGTTCCACTTTCAAACAAAGGTTTGCATCCATCCAAAACCAGAGAATCATTTAACAATGGATCTAATTTTGTGTTTAGTGTTTAAGTTCATCAACTCTACTGACCTCAAAGAAAGCTGCCCACAATGACCTAATGATTTCTGTGGCATAGGTTTCACCTTTCCTCATATTAATTCCAGTTTTGCATCCAGCAACAATGATATCATCAAGTCAGCTAAGCAGATGTTTGCTTTGAAAAATTTTCACAGGCAGAGAATCAGGAAGTAACAAGCAAAATAATGATTGGGATACAGATAGAAGATGAAACTGAACTATCATTAAAGAACATTAAAACAATTTAAAAATCCATGGAATTTCACATGGAATGGAGGACGTTTAGGTTCCATAAATATAAATTCAACTTATCAGGGCCAGAGAATGCATTCATCAATAATTCTTGCTGACTACACTCTTAAAAGCTCAGTTAAGTCTCTGTCAACAAGATGTAATACCTGTCGAATAATTTTACAATGAAACTATTGTGTAAAAAGTGGAAAGCTCTTGAACCCTTGTTTTTCCCAGGTAAATTGAGAGGGAGGTTCATTGTTGTGGGTATGGAGTCACATGCAGGCCTGACCACATAAGGATGATGGAATCTTCAAAAGGCAATCAATTATTTCATGGTCACCATTATAGAAGCTAGCTCTCAATCCCACATTTTCTGAATTGAATTTTTGTCTATTTACCCAAGGACAATAATCCTAAGCCTCTGGGGTACTAGCTCAAATAATTTTACCACATTGTCACTACCTCCCTATTTATCCCTAATTTACTTGAAATTTACTCAATTTATGATAATTTATTTCTGTTTAAAATCACGTGCGCACTAGTAATTTTTTATTCTTATCATGTTTTCTTGACAAATTCCTGATGCAAAAAAACACATAACATAGAGCACTTTACAACAGGAGGTTTCCCCTACGTCAATCGTGGAGACTGACCGGAAAGAGGTTTATAACAATATTGAGTGGAATACAAAAGTCAGAATAATAATGATTCATTTAATGGTTTTCATTTAGTGAGACACCTCCTCTTCAAAATACCCCAGAACAGGTGATTGCTTTGGAAATAGTAGAAGGAATGTTACTTCATCAAGCTTTCAATCGTTCTTACAGATAGACATAAGCCTAGCCACGTAAAGCTGTTGGATTGTAAGAAGGTTGTCCATGTCGCTTGTGGAGAAGAGCACACTGCTGTTCTGACAAAGGTTTGTTCAGAAGCACTTAAATCATCTTTATTCAGGTGTGGGGATATCCTAACATTAAAAGTGACAATTTGGGAGCTTTACCATTGTTTGCAGCCTATATAATAAAACCAAAGATTTCCCTTGGGATCAGATGTAACATGTCCTCAATTCATTGTTTTTCCTTTAGGATGGGCTTGTTTTCACCTTTGGAGCGGGGTGTTATGGGCAACTTGGACACAACTCTACAGAGGATGAGACTAAACCTCATCTGGTCGGTTACCAGATATTTGGAAAGAAAGTTTCTCAAATAGCTTGTGGAAGGTGCGATCTGAAAACAAGAAATCAAATTAAATGAAGCTATGTCTCTTTGACTCTTTCTTATGTGGGAACCAGAAAGATTTGAAATTATGCAATACATTAGTCACATAACACAGATTGCCATGTGCCATGTAACTTCATCTGGTCAACTGTTTCATTATCCGTACAGTTCAGTGACAGTTTTAGATTGTTAAGATCTATTTCTTATTTGTGAATAAATAATAGCTGAGTGTGTGGTTTAAGTGTGGCAAGTGGACATTCAGACTTTGAGGAGCCTGAGTGGAGAGATATTTGAGAGTGTGGCTTGGGAATAATTGGTGGAAGCCTGGCACTGCAGAAGTCTGGACTTCTATTGTGGAGCTCCAAGGGACAATTCTACTCTTCTCACTAGGTCCCATTGGTTTTTGGCACTTGCCAAGTATGTATAGCCTGGGGAGATGGTGGTGTAGTAATTTCATTATGCCAGTAATCTATGACCCTCTGTTTAATGTTCTGGGACCATAGGTTTGAATCCCACCATAGAAAGTAGTGAAATTTGAATTCATTCTTTTAGAAAATGTTCTTAGTAAAATGGTGGCCTAGAGTTTGTGTAACCATTATTGTAAAAACTCCACCTGATTCACCAGTGCACTGAAGGGAAGTAAACCTGCCATCTATACCAGCTTACATGTAAAAACCGAAAGAACTGTGGATGCTGTAAATCAGGAACAAAACCAAAGTTGCTGGAAAAGCTCAGCAGCTCAGCATCTGTGAAGGATAAAACAGAGTTAACGTTTCGGGTCCAGTGACCCTTCCTCAGAACTGTGGACACCGGACAATGAAAAGTTCTGAGGAAGGGTCACCAGACCTGAAATGTTAACTCTGTTTTTTCCCTTCACAGATGCTGCCAGACCTGCTGAGCTTTTTCAGCAACTTTGTTTTTGTTCCTAGCTTACATGTGACTCCAGAACCATAACCATGTGATTGACTGTTAGTTAGAGGTAGGCAATAAATGCTGACCTAGCCAGTGATGCCTACATCCCATGAGTAAAGAGAAAAAAAATTGGCATCAAAACTAACAGCATTGGAATGAGAAGACAGTAGGAAGTGAATGGAAAATGGAACAGCTCTATTTTAGTTACACTTTCTTAGTAATCAGTAGGAGTGAATATTTAGAATTACTTCGCATCCAAAGCTGCAAGACTAAGAGAAATTTTGCATTGTTTAGAGCTAATCAGCAATGCAAAACCAGGAAAAATCGTGGAACGTTATGATGTGTTTATTTTAAACAGTTACCACACACTTGTCTTCGTTCAATCATCTGGGAAGATCTATTCCTTTGGTCGTGGAGACAAAGGGCAACTTGGAAATAGAGAAACCAAAGATCAGCTAGTGCCTCTTCTCGTCAACATAATGGATATAGTCAACAAGAATGGAAATGGAAATGGTGAGCAATGTAAGACTCTATTCCCCATTGTGCAGAAAATGTAAACGTTAATGTTGATCTGTGGTCCAATACTTTGCAATTTCAGCCAGACTTCGATGTTATTTGAAAAACAGTTAAAACTAGTCAACGTCATGTGCCCACAGGGAATATAAAATTAAACAAGTTAAATAATTAAACTAATGTTTAAAATAATTTTTCAGGTCTGTGGACAACCATACCGAGATCTATAGAAATAATTCAGTTCTCATTTTAAACTTTCAATTTCAGTCCTTATTTTTATTCACTTTCACATTTTGAATTCTTATTTATAATAGAAAATCCCAATGTAAACATGTATTGCTGTCACCATATGTTGCCCCCCCACCCCCACAATGGTGACACTGTAAATTCTTCAGTCAATGTGTAATTCTATAGGCTTTTTCCATTCCAAACATGGGCAAATAAATTTGCGTTGGAAGAACAAGATAGAAAAGAGTCATAAATATAAACTGAACACATTACATAGGGAAGAACAGGTCAACACATACTTTGAATGACATTGATGTCCACCTAACCTGTATTCATACATCTTGACAGATCATGAAACAAAGTCAGTTGTGAGAAGAATATTTGCAGGAGGAAACCAAAGCTTTGCAGAGTGTGATCGTGCAGTGGTAAGAATCTAAGTACTCCTTAAGTCAGTGTAGTGTTGCAATAAGCAGTACTAGTGTGCAAGACTGTACAATGGGAATGGACATTCATTTGGCTCAAAAACATTTCAGATCATTGTTTCATATTTGAAAACTGACTTTTCCATTTTTAATTCAATTCCATTCCATCCGTATAAAACTAAAACGAAGAACTACTGATACTGGAGATCCAAAACAAAAACAGAGGAACTAAGAATGTCTGGCAGCAGCTGTGGAGAGAGAAACAATTAATGTTTCAAAATGTTCACTCCGTTTTTCTCTCCAAAGATGCTGCAAGACCAGCTGAGTTTCTCCAGCATTGTTTTTTGGTCTATTCTGTTCAAGTCCTTGCCTCGGAATCTGGTGAAGTTTCATTCTTGGTAGCTTTGTCGCTAGTACTTTGCCATTCACTTCCCCGCTCAGGCCAGGCAAGGCAAGGAGACTAGCCCCAAGTCTACCTCGTGGAGACAAACCCATGCTGTGGATGTTATTCTGAAACATACACTAACCAAGTGAGTTAAACAGAACTCTTCCCCTGTCCATCCATTTCATTTATAATTTCCTTAATTAACCATTTAATAAAACTGAAACAGATTCAAAAATAATTTTCAGAAGTGATTGAATGTGGATGTGAAGGATGGAGAATTACAGGATTGTGGAGAAAGAACATTGTCTCTATTGTAGAGAATTGATGTTTCCCGTCAGTGTCCCTCGTGTACATTTAATCCTCTTGGTTTATTTTTCTCTTTAGGATTTGGTGTCCTCTACTGACCAATCTGCCCTCTCCACACTCAGTGCTTTCAGGCGAATCATGACAGTGGACAATTTACTGGAGCAGGAATTGAACAAAAACAAGAGAAAGTAAGTTGCCTTCCTGAGAAATTCATTTTGCCATCCTCAATTTCCATACAATTTCTTATTAATGCCTGTTTATGAATACCTTTTGTATTGATCTCCTCCATGCAAACACATGTTACCTGTCAGTGTTAAATCTGACATTCCCTTACTGATGTTAAAGTGACAAACATCAGATAATTTAAATTCCAGTCTCTTGTCGTACAGAGATATATGAAGAAGATAATCAATAGAATCAACAGTAGGCCAATCAGCCACATGATGAAGCCCCAATCTACCATTTAAATAAATAGAAGTGTTTAACATTTAAAAACGAGAGATAATTAGCAATAGTCTATAAAGTACCATAGACATTTCTCCATTAAAAAAATGAATTAATGGTGCACCAGTGGTTTGCTGTAAGGATCTTTGCTGGGTCCACTGTTTTTTGTCATTTATAGAAATGACTTGGATGTGAATATAGGAGGTATGGCTAGTACGTTTGCAGATGACACCAAAATTCGTGGTGTAGTGGACATTGAAGAAGGTGACCTCAGAGTACAACAGGATCTTGATCAGGTGGGCCAAAGAGTGGCAGATGGAGCTTAATTTAGATCAATGTGAGGTGTTGCATTTTGGTGAGGCAATCAGTGCAGGACTTATAAAGTCAATGGTAAGGCCCTGGGGAGTATTGCCAAACAAAGGGACCCAGGCGTGTAGGTGCATGGTTCCTTGAAAGTGGAGCCACAGGTAGACGGAGTGGTTATGCAGGCAACAAAAACAGAAATTGCTGGATAAGCTCAGCAGGTCTGGCAGCATCCATGGAGACAAATCGCAGTTAACGTTTCGGGTTTGATTTCTCTCCACAGATGCTGCCATACTTGCTGAGCTTATCCAGCAATTTCTGTTTTTGTTTCTGATTTACAGCATCCAAAGTTCTTTTGGTGGTTACAAAGGCATTTGGCACGCTTACCTTCATTGGTCAGCACATTGAGTATAGGAGCTGGGCTGTACATGTTGCAACTGTATAGGACATTGGTTAGGCCACTTTTGGAAAACTGCATTCAATCTGGTCTCCCTGCTATAGGAACGACGTTGTTACACTTGAAATGGTTCAGAAAAGATTTACAAGGGTGTTGCAGTGATTGGAGGATTTGAACTAAAGGGAGAGGCTGAATAGACTGGGGCTTTCTTCCCTGGAGTGTCAGAGGCTGAGGGATGACCTTATAGAGGTTTTTAAAATCATGAAGGGCATGCATAGGGTGAATAGCCAAGCTCTTTTTCCCTGGGTAGGGGAGTCCAAAACCTAGAGGGCATAGGTTTAAGGGAGAGGGGAAAGATTTAAAAGGGACCTAAGGGGCAACTTTTTCACGCAGAGGGTGGTGCGTGTATGGAACGAGCTGCCAGAGGAAGTGGTGGAGGTGGGTACAACTACAACATTTAAAAGGTACCTGGACGGGTACATGAATAGGAAGGGTTTGGAGGGATACAGGATAAATGCAGGCAAATGGGGCTAGATCAGTTTAGGATATCTGGTCAGCGTGGGTGAATTGGACTGAAGGGTCTGTTTCCGTGCTGTAGAACTCTATGACTGTAATTTCTTTTTGAATGTCAATTACAGGGCAATCGTTCGGGCATTTTCTTCTCCTCAAGTTCTGTGTGGAAGTTTCCTGGATGTCAGGTAAACAAATGTGTTATTGGCTAATTATGAGCCCCAAAATATCTTAAGTGAACTTGTTACAGCTTCTATTTAAGTTCCTTGCTTTATTGCCTAGGCCCAAACCAAAAGACAGGTCCCAAGTTCTTTACCAAAAAATCATTAGGATACATTTTACTTTTTGCATTTACTTTGCTCAATCTTCTTGAGGAGGTTCATACAATGAAACAAGCTGAAAGTTGGAGTAGCCAAAAAAGTTGTGCAATGTGATGCTGTTCAAGGCTGATTTTGTTATTCTGCCTGTTTTTCCTGCACTATGTTGAATTGTCAAGCTTTGTCAAGTGATAGGTCTATCTCTCCCTCCTCTTCTCTAATAGTTATGTTCAGTTTGGGAATTCATTGACTAGTCAATTTTTGTCAAACACTTTCCACCCATTCAATTACAGTCTTCACCCCATCAATCTTCCAGAAATTTGGATACAGCTCATTTCAGTATTTCAGGCATTACCTACAATTGAGAAGCTGCCTCTGTTGTGAGGGGAACTTCATTGTGCTGTTTTGCCACAAAGTAGTTTAAGGAGCTGAATGTTTTCAAAGTGTCAGAAGAAAATACAATATGGACATCTTGTGCAGCTGCAATTTCCTTCAACTCACCATTGGTGGCCTTGCTGACAACGTCTCTGCCCTAAGTTCTGGAATTCCTGCTAAAAACATTTCTGTCCCTCCACTTCAATACAGTGCAGAGCTGGAGGAACACAGCAGGTCAGGCAGCATCAGAGGAGCAGAAAAATCGATGTTTTGGGTTTACACCCTTCATTCAGCCATGTACCAGCACTATCTGCAATTGAGAAGCTGCCTCTGTTGTGAGGGGAACTCCTGCCCCTCTGAAGCTGCCTGACCTGCTGTGTTCCTCCAGCTCCACACTGTATTGACTCTGACTCCAGCATCTGCAGTTCGTGCTATCTCTCTCTCTCTGACCCTCCACTTTCCTCCTTTAAAGAATTCGTTAAAAAAAATCTTTTTAATCTAAACTTTTGGATCAAATCACCTAATGCCTTTTTCTTTGAATTGGCATCAGATTTCTGTCCCATGACAGTCCAGTGAATATTGGAAGTTTCTTTGCATTTGAGGTGTCATATAAAGGCAATTTGCTGTTGTTGATGCAGCAATGGTTATGTAGGATCAATTTTAATTGGAGAGGCTCTGCCCTTCACGAGGACTGATGAGGTTAAATGCTGACAATGTTGGGCCCAAACGTTACCATTTCTTCAGGGACTGTTCCTATTGACTACCTGCCAGGGAGGAGTGGTGGAGTGGGGAAAGAGTTATAGAGTCATAGAGATGTGCAGCATGGAAACAGATGCCTTAGTCCAACCCATTCACACCGACCAGATATCCCAATCTGACCTAGTCCCATTTGCCAGCATTTGGCCGATATCCCTGTAAACACCTTCCTAATCATATACTCATTGAAATGCCTTTTAAATGTTGTAATTGTACCAGCCTCCACCACTTCCTCTGGCAGCTCGTTTCATACACGCACCAACTTCTGTGTGAAAAAGTTGCCTCTCATGTCCCTTTTAAATCTTTCCCCCGTCACCTTAAACCTGTGCCTTCTAGTTTGTGACTCCCCTACCCTGGAAAAAAGACCTTGGCTATTCACCCTATCAATGCCCCTCATGATTTTAAAAACCTCTATAAGGTCACCCCTCAGCCTCCGACACTCCAGGGAAAAAAGCCCCAGCCTATTTAACGTCTCCCTATAACTCAAACCTTTCAGACCCGACATCATCTCTATAAATGTTTTCTGAGCCCTCGCTGTAAAATAAAATCACCAATTCACTTTATCAGATCACTTTACTGGGATCAGTTAGCTCAGTTGGCTGGATGGCTGGTTTGCGATGAAGAATGATGTAAACAGTATAGGTTGACTCTCTGGCTGACATTACCATGAAGATCCCTCCCTCTCAACCTTTGTCTGTGCCTGAGATGTGGTGACCATCAGGTTAAACCACCGCCAGTCGTCTTTCTTTAGTGAGAGAGAAACCTTATAGCTCTATGGGTGATTTTGCATTACCAGGTGGTAAAAGTGAACAATTCCCCAATGAGAGTGAGTGTTTGAGCTCCAACATATCATATCTCTTTCTGTTTCAAATGACTTACATAGATTTGGTTGGGCACAAAGATACAGTGTTTCAAATGAATCTACAATATCAAAGAAGCCAATACAATATTGTATTGTTTCCACAGTGCATTAATAATCATTCTTACTATGTATTTCAAAACAGCAAGAATGGCCATTTCAAAACGAACGGAGAGACGTCTGGCCTGGATTTGTCTGCAGTATATCAGGGCTTCATGAATTTGGCAAAAAACTCCTTAACTTTGCAGGTAATGTTACAGACTAATCAATCCTATAGCTTCTCACAGCTTAAGATGCTGCAAAGTACTTTCTTCCATCCCTAAACATCTCTGATTCATTGAAAGGGATAAAGGGAGAGAAGACACAAACACAATAGCGATCAGTAGAAAGGATATCTGTTGGGGTTAAAGAGTGATAAGTCCCCTGGACCTGATGGGATGCATCCTAGAATTTTGAAAGAATTAGCTACAGAGGTAATGTAAATGTAAATGTAAGCACTGGTGGTTATCTTCCAAGAATCCTTAGATTCAGAGAGATTGTTTGCCCTTGTGATAGACTCTAGGACCAGAGGGCATAATCTCAGAGTACAGAGTCGTCCATTTACGACAGAGGTAAGGAGGATATTTTTCCATCAGAGGATAGTGAATCTGAGGATTTGATTTACTGCCGAGGGCTGTCAAGAGTGGGTCATAAAATATATTCAAGGCTGAAATAAACAAATTTTTAATGTGTAAGGGAATCAAAAATTATGGGATTAAGGCAGGAAAGTCGAGTTGAGGATTATCAGATCAGCCATGATCTAACTGAATGGCGAACAGACTCAATGGGCTAAATGGCCTGCATTTGCTCATGATCTAACCCTGAATATTCTGCTTGCGAGGCAAGAATGCTACCAGGAAATCCAAGACTCAGCCCTTTCAGGTTCAGTGAGACACCATTTCACTGTGTAGGTAATGCTGGTAAGAGAGCAGTGGAATTAATGGATCTTTCATGGGATGTGGAAAACACTGGCAAGGCTAACATTTGATGCCCATCCCTAATTATCCTTGATTGTCCAGCTAGGTCATATAAGACGGTAGCTTTGGGCACCTCATTAAGAAAGAACGCGCCATGTACACTCAGAATCATGGTAGCAGGAATGGAAATCATTCATTTAGTAAAGGAAAATCATATGGATGTTGGCCTTAATTGCAAGAGTATTAGAGTAAGGTTACTGAGGATTTCAAGGGTGCGGAAGTGGGGTGGGGAGATGCTATTAATGAATCCTTGAGCCTTGACGGTCAGGAGCACAGGAGAAGGGTGAGGGTCCAATGGGTGGTGGTGTTGGGGAGGAGTGGAGAGTGCAGAGATGAGCATAGTGGGCTAATGTACTGGTAAAGTGCTGAGACAAGTTGAAGAAGGTTTCAGAGGGTTGGGATGTGTTACCTTTGAACAATTTAAAGCTGCAATGGACAGATTATAGGCCTCTTAAGCAATCGAGGGATGGGGGAAAATGCAGAAGAGCAGAGTTGAAACAGCCTTCTCCCATTCCTATATCTTATGGTCTTATTTTATTGCTCCAAGTGGATAAAGTGGCTTTTAATTATTGTCAAGGACTTGCACTTCTGTTGCTGATGTTCACAATTTTACAGGTGAAGAATGCAGTTGAGAATAACCTGATCCCATCGTTACCTCGATCTCCGACTTGTGTGGAAACATTGCGAGTTTACATTATAATACCAGAACTTGTTGCTGTTCTAGGAGAGTCAGGGTACTCAGCAATGCTGCTGGAATCTTTAAACAGATCCATTCTCTCACTTGAAGAAAGTTATTTTAAAATTCTTGGTAAGATTTTTAAACATTTTTCTAAGGATTTAAATGCAATTAACTGTTACCATTCAAAGAAAATAATTAAGAAATTTGCAATTTTTGCTTTTGCAATTCTTATAATCCAAAAGTGGCAATGCTTCAACATATACTTAACTGATTACAAAGTTCATCAAGGTGCTCTGAGGTTTGAGAAGTGCTATATAAATGCAACTCTTTCTGTATTTTCTATACTGCCTTCAGAGGCCAGATATCTTGGGTGACAATGACTGGACAGGATGCTGAAGCAGTAAATCATCTCCTGATCAGAACTTTGGGGGAAATGCTACATTAACCCAGTTTCCATTGAAGGTCAAACAGCTGTTCCAGAGCTCTTTGGGGGAAAGTATCAGCAAATTGAATAGCATAACTGTTTGAAGGATGTTCTATCTCTAAAGCTCACCATCCTGTTCTGTGTGATCAGTGACCAAGTAGGAGGCTGTGTTTTATTTTACACAAACATTTCTGTGCCATTTCTTTACAGAATGCTGGTGGTGTACAATGCCTTATAATTTCTTCATGCGCCTTGTGAGGATGTATCAGAAAGAATCACATCACCTTCTTCAACTCACAATGAAAGGCACCTCACCATGCAATCCCCAACTACACAATTCATTGAAAATCTTACAAACACTTTACAAGGTGGGTACAAGTTTGCCTTGTTATTCTGGACCTTTAGGTGGATTGTGCCCCTGTTTGGGAATGAATCTAATGGCTTTCTCACCGTACAATCTTCAACTGAGTCCTGAAACCCTACTTCTTTGATCAGTCGCCTCCTGTCATTCTCCTTGTTGCTGTATTTGCTGTTTATTTTCTTCCATGTGTTTTCTTCTGTGCAGATGTTTTAAGAACATAAGAACTAGGAGCAGGATGTGGCCATTCAGCCCTTGATTCTGCTCAGCCATTTAGTACAATTGTGGATGACCTCATCTCCGTCTCAACTCCACTTTCTTGCCTGCTTTCTATAACCCTTCAACGCATTACTAATTAAAAATCTGTTTATCTCCTCCTTAAATTTACTCAATATCCCAGCATCCACTGCACTCTGAGGTAATGAATTCCACAGATTCATGACCCTTTGAGAGAAGTAATTTCTCCTCATCTCTGTTTCAAATCTGCCACCCCTTATCCCAAAACTACTATATCTCCTTTTGATTGCCCAACATCCTTTCTATGCCTTCGTTGTCAATCCCCTTTAACATCCTATACTCCTCAATTAGATTTCCTCTCATTCTTCTCAACTCCAGAGAGTATAGGCCTAAACCGCCCAACCTTTCTTGAAAAGACAAATTCCTCAGCTCTGGAATCAATCTTTTACTTGATGTGGAGGAGCATTGAGAATTCAAAATAGTTTAGAAGGCAACATGACAACACTGTGAAATGTAGATTCCATCATGCAACATTGTAGTCTCAACATTAATCTAAAAGTGATTGGATGAGTTCAGTTTGGACACCCATTTTGCAACACACCTGAGTTTACTCTACACTGATGTCAATGGAAGGTTAAAGTAACATTTGACCCAGACTCTTCCTAATATTAACCTAAGTTAAAATTGGGACATTTTTAAAATTACTGATATTGTGAAATCACAGGCAGCCATTTACAATCTGCCTATATGGTGGCTAGAATCTTGTGATGCTCCCAGGAATGGGAAACAAGAGGCCAGTGAAACTCAGTAGTGTGAGAGACTAAGAATCAGGCTCCCAACAGCAGGATGGAAATTTGCAACTAAATTCTCGGAACTTTAAAGGTGTTGGAACTGTCCTACAACAGGCAGTGGGAATTGCTTTTTGCATGCATCTACATGTTGTCACTTGCACGATCATTAAAAAGCCAGCTCACCACAAATAAGTTCCCATTCCCAATCATGTCCTCCTCCATGCGTGAGTAACTTGAGCCTCAAGATTCCCTACTGCATTTAAAGAGGTATGCAGCAAGTGAAATGCGATTCTTACTGGACTTTGGAGCAAGTGACTACCATTTTCTCCTCTTTGAGGACTGTTCTTCTGTGCCAGGCTATAATTGACAGTTGTCTAAGCTGCACAGGGCATGGTAGGTGACTGAGGGAGGGAGAAAGATTGGTGTGTAACGGGCTCGGGTCAAAGAGGCTGGCCAAGGGTGGAAATTATTGCCCTCATTTGGTGGCTTCACTATGATAAATTGCCCATGGTATCCAGCGATGTGCAGGTTAGGTGGATTAGCCATGGGAAGTGCAGGGTCACAGGGATAGGGTAGGGGGTTATGTCTGTGTGGGATGCTGTTTGGAGGGTCAGTGTGGATTCAATTGGCCAAATGGCCTGTTTCCACACTGTAGGGATTTTATGATTCATTACCAGTCTCTGTAATGTCATCGAAAGCATCCAATACCTTACAAAAACATGATTTGTCCAGAATATATCTGTGTTATCTTTTCTAAATTAACAAATATTTGCTCAAATGACTACTTATTTTGTCCCAAATTATTGTTTCTTAAAGCTTGCTCCACACCCAAGTTAAGTGGGCTGGCCTGTAATTTCTGGGCTTTTTATGTACAGACAACCTATTGTATAGTTCCTCTTTACCAATTTTTAAACCATTTATGTGTCTGAACTACCTCCTGTTTCCCTCAACTTGTGTATCATTTTCTTCCTTGCTAAAGATAGAAGCAAAATATTCATTTCATGCCTCAATCATGCCCCTTGCCTACATGCCTAAATCCTCTTTCTCGTCCCTTATTGACCTCATTCCTTCTTTTATCTCCCTTTTACTATTTATAGGCCGTTAGCTTTTTAATTCTTTTTCCATTAGCTGCCAATTTCTCTCTTCTTTGCTTCTCCTTTGCTTTTTCAATTACCCTTTCAAATTTCTATATTAATCCTATTTTCCACCTGGCATCCATCATGTGCAGATTTTTGCTTCCTCATCTTATTCGCCACTCCATTTTCATCGTGGGTGCTCTGGATTTGTTTTCACTGCCTTTGTCTTTCATGGGACAATATTTTGGCTGTGCCCAAAACATCCCTTCTTTAGGGCAGCCTGGGTTCACTTACAGTTTTGCGTGATACAATAATGATGGGTCCATCTTTACTGGAAACCCAAACATTTAAGAGGAAAAGATCGTGTTAGAGAGCTTTTGGAACAATTGGTCCAAAGTTATCCATTCCTCTCAAGTACCCTCCACTTGCCCCGTAGCATGTCTTAAATTATTTGTGTACTAAATCTTGAAGTATTAATCTATGGTTAATTATTTTCGGGCAGGTAAACTTGAACAGAGATGCAAAGATTCTTGAGGGAAATTTCTACATTCCTGTCATGCAGGTGTTGAAGTGCTCTTTAACAGTAAGTGGACAAATAATCCAGTTAAGTGGATGAGCTGACTATGATTCCAGGGCTCTCTGTTTTCTAGCATTCATGTTAAGGGGTGATCTCTCATGCCATCTTCCTTCTGTAATTTCAGTGGAAACCTGCTTTAAGAGCTGGAAAATAGGTTTGGGTTGTTTTCTATTGCTGTGTATGATTTTGCATTCAATAAGACTTTTTCAAAATTGGTCGCAATTTCAGAAGTAGGGATGCCTGGAGCAGAGGTTTTATTGACAGCATGGGCTGTGGAGATTGCAGAACGGAAGCGCCCACCTCTGGCAGTCATGTGTAATTACAGTGTGAGTGGTTTCCATTCGAAATGTGATTGGTAGAACACATGGGAAAATTCAACGCAAAATTGTAATAGAAATATCAGAGTTAGAGGAAAGGTTTTGTAGACGTTGTGCATGTGATTATAAACTGTTGAATATATATTACTTATTAATGTTTGTGGACACTTCTAATGGAAATATTAAGGATGCTATACATTTTATCAATCCAATCTTATGAGTAATTGTTTGATATAAAAGTTACTGAAGAAAGATAAAATCAGAGAACTTTACAGGTCAGAAGGAACATATTCATCCCCTTGTGCCTGTGCTAGTCCATTGAAAGAGTCATTATATTTAAGCGGACTTTCTCCTGTTCTTTGATCTACCAGTTTCTTCTTTCCAAATATTTAACCAATTCTCTTTCAAAGCTGCAACTGAATCTGCTTCCCCACCTATCCAGCAGATCATTGTACATTGGTGCATAAAATTAATTCTTATTTCCTCCATGGTTTCTTTGTCAAAGATGATGCTTCATTTTATAACCCCTTAGCAACCTTCTAAGAACTTTGCCTGATGAGTGAGCAGTGCTCCAAAAGCTTGTGATTCCAAATAAACCTGTTGGACTATAGCCTGGTGTCGTGTCTGACCTTGTCCACTCCAGTCCAACACTGGCACATCCACATCATACCTACCAAGACCATGAGGACATGAATGACAAGCAAAATTCCAAGGCCACAGGGCCTACCATTTCACTACATTCGCAGCCACACATTTGTGTTTGATTATCTTGCAGACTGTGAAACTTGTTTGGAATAAAGTACATTTTCTAAAAGAGTTATCTGACTACTTCAAAGCCTTCTGGCGGGTTTAGACCTTTTCCTAAACCTTATAAAGCCCACAAGTTGTGTTTTAAGACTTGCTCAAACAAAAATCAGCTTTAAGTGGCAAATAGGACTAGATTAATTCAGGATATCTGATCGGCATGAACGAGTTGGACCGAAGGTTCTGTTTGTATGCTGTAGAGCTCTATGACTCTATGTAGAAGCATCTGGACTTTTAGATGTGCCACTGCCTTCAGGAAACACGTGTGTGTGATCTCCTGGCCCTGTTTTCCTCCCCCATGATAAAGGAATGAATGCATCAGTGTTAGAGCGTGCATGCATGTTGGGTTTAGAGGCAGGACATGTGGATTTGGGCCTTGGCTGCCATTTTGAATGGGGTGAATATGCTAAATCCTGTATCTAATGAACACAGTGGACGCAGCTGAAGTCCTCTCTTGTATGAAAGAAGAGAGAGCATTAAATGCCAGAGATTAAAAGCTGGCTAGACAGAGTCCAGTCATATACTTAACTCATCAGAGTTTTATTTCAGCTCACACAGCGCAAACTCCAACAACACTGATATATATAAGAACATAGAACAGTACCGCACAGTACAGGCCCTTCGGCCCACGATGTTGTGCTGACCTATTATCCTACTAAGATCAAGCTACCCTACATACCCTACATTTTACTATCCTCCATGTGCCTATCCAAGAGTCGCTTAAAAGCCTCTAAAGTATCTGACTCCACTACCACTGCCGGCAGCGCATTCCACAAGCCCACCACTCTTTGTGTAAAGAACCTACCATCTCCCCTATACCTTCCTCCAATCAACTTAAAATTATGCCCCCTCGTAAGAGTCATTTCCATCCTGGGAAAAAGTCTCTAGCTATCCACTTTCTCTATGCCTTGATATAACTGCATTTGTTAACACCAAGGGGCATGTGTGATATGCTCTAGAGAAATGCTGGAGCATATGCTAGAGAGTAAGGTTTATTTAAAAGAGTCTGCATACGTGTCTTGGAAAAGATTGGGAAGTGGGGTAAAGAAAGAACTGACAAAGCCCATTCTTCCCTGCCCTTCGTGGATCTAATAATGAACCGTCTCCCTGGTCCATCCTCTCCTTCATCTGTTCTCCTCCACCTCCACATTCTGCCTCAGTCCATTCTTTTACTTCCTTGATGTTCAAAGCTCTGGATTTGACTTAAAATTTGTTTATGTCATAGTGAAATATTTGTTAATTAACTCCTTATTTTTATTTTACTGTTTTTAGATAAAGGCTGCCAAGTTGTTTCCTGTCCATTTTCAAATTATAATTAATGAGGTATATATTATGTAAATATGATAATATGTGAGGGTAGCCAGAAAGGGATTAGTGATATACAGCACAGAAACAGACTGTTCGGTCCAACTCATCCATGCTGACCAGATATCCTTAATAAATCTAGTCCGATTTGCCAGCATTTGGCCCCTACACCTCTAAACCCTTCCGATTCATATACCCATCCAAATGCCTTTTAAATGTTGTAATTGTACCAGCCTCCACGACTTCCTCTGACAGCTCATTCCATACATGCAGAACCCTTTGCATGAAAAAGTTGCCCCTTAGGTCCCTTTTAAATCTTTCCCGTCTCACCTTAAACCTATGCCCTCTAGTTTTGGACTCCCCTTCGCCAGGGAAAAGACCTTGTCTATTTACCCTATCCATGTCCTTCATGATTTTATAAACCCGTATAAGGTAACCCCTCAGTCTCCGACACTCCAGGGAAAATAGCCCCTGTCTATTCAGCCTCTCCCTGTAGATCAAAAACTCCAACCTTGGCAACATCCCTGTAAATCTTTTCTGAACCCTTTCAAGTTTCACAACATCCTTCCCATAACAGGGAGATCAGAATTGCATGCAGTATTCCAATAGTGGCCTGACTAATGTCCTGTACCACCACAACATGACCTCCCAACTCTGATACTCAATGCGCTGACCAATAAAGGCAAGCATACCAACTGCCTTCTTCACTATCCTATCTACCTGCGACCCCACTTGCAAGGAACTATGAACCTACACTCCAAGGTCTCTATGTTCAGCAACACTATCCAGGACCTTACCATTAGGTATATAACTCCTGCCCTGATTTGCCATTCCAAAATGCAGCACCTCACATTTATCTAAATTAAACTCCATCTGCCAATCCTCGGTCCATTGGTCCATTTGATCAATATCCCATTGTACTCTGAGGTAACCTTCTTTGCTGTCCACTACATCTCCAATTTTGGTGTTGTCTGCACTCTTACTAACCATACCTCCTATGTTCACATGCAAATCATTTATATAAATGACAAAAAGCAGTGGACACAGCACCAATCTTTGTGGCACACCGCTGGTCACAGATCTCCAGCCTGTAAAGCAACCCTCCACCACCACCCTCTGTCTTTTACCTTCAAGCCAGTTCTGTATCCAAATAGCTAGTTCTGGGGATTTATCCACTTTGTGCATTTTAAGACGTCCAGCACCTCCTCCTCTGTAATATGGACATTTTTCAAGATGTCGCTATTTATTTGCCCACATTCTCCATCTCCCATATCCTTTTCCACAGCAAACACTGTTGCAAAATACTCATTTATTATTTCCCCCATCTCCTGCAGTTCCACACAAAGGCAGCCTTGCTGATCTTTAAGAGGCCCTGTTCTCTCCCTAGGTACCCTTTTGTCCTTAATGTTTCTGTAGAATCCCTTTGGATTCTCCTTAATCCTATTTGCCAAAGCTATCTCAGGTGCCCTTTTTGCCCTCCTGATTTCCATCTTAAGTATACCCCTACTGCCTTTATACTCTTCTAGGGATTCATTCGATCTCTTCTGTCTCTACCTGACATATGCTTCCTTCTTACTCTTAACCAAAACCTCAATTTGTCTAGTCATCCAAAATTCCCTACACCTACCAGCCTTGCTCTTCACCCTAACAGGAACATACTGTCTCTGGACTGTCGTTAGCTCATTTTCGAATGCTTCCCGTTTTCCAGCCATCCCTTTACCTGGGAACATCTGCCCCCAGTTCAGCTGCTGCTATTTATTTATTATTATTCATTGCCACTATATTTATTATTTTTGAATTGGACTGGGTGAGAGTGAGTGAGTAAGATATTGCAGGCAAGGGTGACAGTAGTAGAGCATGAGCAATAGTAGAGATACAGTGGAATTGAGATGGCAGAAAGAAGATGGTGAGGCCAAGAAGGATGAGACACCCTATAATAGATATAATCACTGATGTTTGTTTAATGTTTTCTTTGCAGTTAATGAATGGCTTTAATGTTCCACAAATTCACCTTCAATCCTACTTCACAGCACTTCGCATGGTGAGTTGTGAATTATGATCATTCTGTTTTATTATTTTCTCCTCCATTGCGTAAAACAGGGGGAGGCAATGGCCGAGTGGTATTATCGCTGGACTGTTAATCCAGAGACCCAGATAATGTTCTGAGGACCTGGGTTCAAATCTCACCTCACCTCAGCAAATGGAGGAATTTGAATTCAAACAAAAAAGAAATCTGGAACTAAGAGTCTAATGATGACTGTGAATCCATTGCCAAGGGCGTTCTCAACCACTGAGGGGGGGAAGTTGCAGTCCTTGAAAAACGAGGACATTTGGGATGTCCGGGAGTGGAATGCCTCATCTTGGGAGCGGAGGCATGGGAATTGGGAATTGGGAATTGGGAATTGGGAATTGGGAATTGGGAATAGGGGGTGGCCTTTTTGCAGGAAGATGGGTGACAGGAGTACTCTAGGTAGCTGTGGGAGTCGGTAGAGTTCATCCAGCTCTACACCTTGTTGTCTCAGATTCTCCAGCATTGGCAGTTCCTACTATCTCTGTAGCAGAGAGTGCTGATTGGTTGGCAAGTAGACTGTGGTTTGTGGAGGAGTAGCCACAGAGTATGTACCCATTAATGCAGATTGACAGTTTACAGCCAGTTTTGTTACATTTTAAAACAAGATAGTTCATTTTTACGAGTCAGTGCATTGCCTGAGAAATTAACCATTGGATAGCTGTCACCTGTTTGATTGAAAGAGGCACAACTTGTTTCTGGTAGCAAAGAGCAAGGTCCTGTGAATCGATAAGTGTAGCTTCCAGTACACACAAGTACACTACACTGTGCGCCCAGGAGGTCATCCTAAATAGGTTTTCATGTACTTCTTCACCCATTCAGGGTTATTCAGCAAATATTTTCCAATTGCAGAAGCATATCTAATGTTACACATTATGTTGCAAGTTTTGCAAGCACGGGCTGTTGGGTTTATTCGGTACCTTGTTTGTTGTAAACAGCTGAAGGTACAAGCTGTTCAATATGGAATCATAGAATCCCTACAGTGTAGAAACAGGCCTTTCAGCCCAACAAGTCCACACCAAACCTTGGAGTATCCCACCCAGACCATTTCTTTATAACCCACCTAAGCTACACATCCCTGAACACTACGGGCAATTTAGCATGGCCAATCCACCTAACCTGCACATCTTTGGACTGTGGGAGGAAACCCACACCGACGGTCACCAAGGGTGGAATTGAACCCGGGTCCCTGGCACTGTCAGGCAGCAGTGCTAGCCACTGAGCCACCATGCCGCCCATATCATAGAACCACTACAGTGTGGAAACAGGCCCATCGGCCCAACAAGTCCACACCGACTCTCAGAGCATCCCACCCAGACCCATCACCCTATAACCCACCTAATTAACACTAGGGGCAATTTTTAGTATGGCCAATCCACCTAGCCTTCACATCTTTGGACTGTGGGAGGAAACCGGAGCACCCGGATGAAACCAACAGAGACACAGGGAGAATATGCAATCTCCACACATACAGTCACCCAAGGGTGAAATCGAACCTGGGTCCCTGGCGCTGTGAGGCAGCAGCGCTAACCACTGTGCCGCCTAATCAGGATCTATTGGTTTTTTGGACATTTAACTGACATGACTAACATCTTACCATATACACAATTCTCAACTGTGTGGTACACATAATGTCTTTGATGGTTTGTGGTGAACACCCTTCCTATTGCTACTGCATTGTAACAACATAAAACAGCTAGCTTCACCAGTTGATCAAACTTTAAGATATATCAAAGTTAAAGTGAGGGACTGTTGAGCGTGATCCTGACATCTGCAGCATTGACCATCTGAGTCTTCCCTCTTTCTGAGTTTGTGTCTGATTCTCCCATTTGTTCAGGATCAGCAACTTAATATTTTCACAGCTGTAACTTGAAATCTCAACAGATCCCATTTACCAAGTATCTTCTTGGTTGCTCAAAATGGAAGAATTTTTTAAAAACTGAAGATCCCTGTACTTAGTGTTTCAAGTAAATTTGGTTATATTGGCTCTCAGAACCTCTGATGTATTTCTACACAATCTTGAGGAATTTTGGGCACCATATAAACTAATGCTCAGAATGAAAGTTTTTTTCACCTTGCCACGATAGATTCCCCAATTTTACTTTGGAGGAATTGCTATCTGTCAGTTCTTCAGGGAGAGGTTTTTGTGGAGATCAGATACTTGCATTGTTCCACATTCATAAATAAGTGGTGATCTGGAGCAATAAGACAACATCAAAGGAATACTCTTAAGTTGTGGAGGGTGTATTTCCATTAGGAATCATTTGTTACTTTAGGAAGAATATATAAACACGTGTAACTGTGTTTTGTGAACATACAGTATTTGTTTATTTTTTTTCCATAGGTTGCACAGCAATTAAAGCCATATCCTTGCATCTTTGATTTGGAAACAAAACTTGCATTATTGAATCTGGAATGCAGAATACTTCAAAATAACGTACGTATTATATTGTGTTTTGCAACGTGTATACTAATAATTGGGTAATTGTAAGTAATGTATGAACTGAGGCACGTTTTAACATCTTCTTCAAGGTTGTGTTACAAGTTGTAATAGAGAAGCTCACTCTGTTCACTCAGTTCTCATTATCTGCATGGAGATTGATCAATTTTGGTGGTTCCCCCAATTACTGATATCTTCAGAGTAATGCAGGGTCTGTGGATAAGGTACTGGGAGTTGCTGATGTATGTTTCTTCAGGGCCCACCAAGCTGCCTTCTCAGGTAGACATAAAAAGAGAGAAGTTATGAAAGAAGCAATACGGCTGGCAAACACAAGGAGAGCTGTAAATTGATGAGCTGAAGTGTGAAGGCGATCAGCACACAGATGTAAACACAAAAGGAAAGCATGCACATGGAGATAGAAAGAGGAATATAGAAAATTCTTGTCAAGAAAAAAGTTATTCTCAGGAAGAGGTCTATTTCTCTGTTTAGCAGAAAAAGAGACAGGAGTTCTTGAAGGTAATGTGTGAACTCTCTGTGGCCAGGATTGAGAGTCCCGAAGGCTGCGCTGCCTGCCTCATACCTGAGTTCAGGACATCATATCAAGGTTGCAGAGGGATTTGGGGTGGGAGGGGAAAAGTCCAGTTGTCGTGATCCACATAGGTACCAATGATACAGGTGGAAAGTAGAAAGAGGTTCTGCTGTGGGAATATGAGCAGCTAGGGGCTAAATTGAAAAGCAGAACCAAAAACATAACAATCTCAGGATTACTACCTGAGCCAGGAGCAAATTGACAACAGGGTCTACAAGATTAAAGACGTAAATGCGTGGCTCAAAGATTGCTGTGGGAGAAATGAGTTTGAATTCATGGGACATTGGCACCAATACTGGGGAAGGAGGGAGCTGTTCCAATGGAATGGACTCCAACTGAATCATGGTGGGATCAGAGTCCTGGCAAATCACATAACTAGGGCTGTAGATCTGTGGGTGGGTGGGGATTGTAAGAGAAGATGGGGGGTGGGCACGGTTTGGTTCAGTTGCATGGAAAATTAGGGAAAAAGTCAAAGGTGGGGAGGGCTCAGCAGAGGTTATTACAGAATTCAGAACAAGTAATAGGATAGAGAGTATGGAAAGGGTCAGGAATCTAACTTCAAGCACAGAATGTATGGGGACAATTATGAGAAGGGGGAAGTCAACGCAGGACTGAGGGTGTTGTACCTAAATATACACAGTATACAAAACAAGGCAAGTGAGCTTGTAGCGTAGATTGAAATTGGCAGGTACAATGTTGTGGGTATTGTAGAGATGTGGCTGCAAGGGGATCCAAGGATACACATCCTATCGAAAGGGCAAGCAGATGAGTGGGTGGGCACGTGGAGTGTAGGGGTTGCCTTGTTAGTAACAAATGAAATCGAATTGGTAGCAAGAAGTGATAAAGGTTCAGAAGGCGTAGAATCTGTGTGGGTTAAGTTGAGGAACACAAAGGGAAAAATACCCTGTTGGGAGTTGTGTACAGGTCTCCTGGCAGCAGTCAGGATGAGAAGAAGAAAGTGGTTGGAGAAAATCAGGTTGGTATGGAATCTCAAGAAAGGGAATTCATGGACTGTCTATGAGATTGTTTTTGGAGCAGCTTGTGGTACAGCCTACTAGAGAACAGGCAGTTCGAGATTTGGTGATGTATAGTGAGGCAGACTTGATTAGGGAACTTAAGATTGAGAAACTCCTAGGAGGCAGTGACCATAATGTGATAGAATTCGCTCTGCGGTTTGAGAAGCTGGCATCAGATGTAACCGAATTACAAAGGTAACTACAAAGACATGAGGGAGGAGTTGGGCAGATTGGAAGGGGAGCCAAGCAGGGAAGACAGTGGGGCAGCAATGACAGGGGTTCCTGGGGGTAATTCGGGAAGCACAGCAGAAATTCATCTCAAGGAAGAAGAAACATTAAGCGGAGAATGAGACAACCATGGCCAAATGGGAAAGTCAGGGACATCATAAAAACAAAAGAAGAAGCATCTCATGTGGTGAAGATTAGTGGGAAGCCTTTAAAAACAGCAAAGGATAAGTGAAAAAGCAGTAAGAGGGCAGAAAATGCAATATCAGAGAAATCTAGCTAGTAATATAAAGAAGATTACAAGAAGTTTTGTAGATATCTGAAAGGTAAGCGAGAGGCAAGACTGAACAGTGGATCATTGGAAAATCAGGCTGGAGAAGTAGTAATGGGGAACAAAGGGTGGATGAACTGAACAGGTACTTTGCATGTGTTTTCATAATAGAAGCCACCAGTAGCATACCAGAACTTCAAGAAAGTCAGGGGGAAGGGATGAATGCCATGGCTAACACTAAGGAGAAGATGCTGAGGAAGTTGAAAAGATCTGAGATGGAGAAATCATCCGCACCAGATGGACTATACCCTAGTGTTCTGAAGGAGATGGCCGAGGAGATTGTAGAGGCATTGGTGGTGATCTTTCAGAAATCACTGGAGTCACGGTGTTTCACAGAGGACTGGAAAATGGCCAATGCAACACCTCTGTTTAAGAAGGGAGGGAGACAGAACATAGGAAACTATAGGCTGGTTAGGTTGACCACAGTCACTGGTAAGACATTAGCGTCCATTATCAAGGATGAGATTGCAGAGTGCTTGGAAGCGCATAGTAAAAAATGACTGAGTCAGCATGGCTTCATCAAGAGGAGGTTATATCTAACAAATCTGTTAGAATTCTTTGAGGAGGTAATGAACAAATTAGACAATGGAGAGCCAGTGAACGTGATCTATTTGGATTTCCAGAAGGCCTTTGACAAGGTGCTGCACAGGAGACTGCTAAATAAGATAAGAGCCATGGTGTTAGGGGCAATGAACTGGTGGGAATAGAGGATTGCCTGACTGGCAGAAAACAGAGAGAAAGGATAAGGTTGTCTTTTTCAGGAAGACAGCCAGTGACTAGTGAAGTTCTGCAGGGGTTTGTGCTAAGGCTACAACTATTCACGTTATACATTAACGAACTGGACAAAGGAACTGAAAGCATTATTGCTAAGTTTGCAGGTGACACAAAAATGGGCAGAGGGACAGGTAGTGTTGAGGAAGTGAGGAGGCTGCAGAAGGACTTGGACAGGCTAGGAGAGTGGGCAAAGAAATGGCAGATGTAACACAATCTGGGAACATGTGGTTACACACTTTGGAAGGAAGAATAGAGACACAGACTATTTTACAAATGGCATGAGGCTTTATAAATCCAAAGCACAAAGGGATTTGGGAGTCCTAGTTTAGGATTCTCTAAAGGTTAACAAGCAGTTTCAGCTGGCAGTTAGGAAGGCAAGTGCAATGTTGGCATTCATTTCAAGAGCACTAGAATAAAAGAGCAGAAATGTAGTGCTGAGACTGTATAAGGCTCTGATCAGACTGCATTTAGAATATTGTGAGCAGTTCTGGCCCTTGAGTCACAAGAAGGATATGCTGGCCTTGGAGGAGGTCAGGAGGAGGTTTACAAGAATGATCCTGGGGATGAACAGCTTGTCATATGAGGGACGGTTGAGGACTCTGGGTCTGCACTTAATGGAGTTTAGAAGGATAACAGGGAATTTCATAGAAACTTATGGAATACTGAGTAGCCTGGATAGAGTGGAAGTGGAGAAGATGTTTTCACTAGTAGGAGAGACTTGGACACAAGAGCACATGCTTAGAGTGAGAGGACAACCCTTTAGAACTGGGATGAGGAGGAATTTCTTCAGCCCAAGTGTGGTGAATCTGTGGAACTCATGGCCGCACAGGGCTGTGGAGGCCAAGTCATTGAGTGTATTTAAGATGGAGATAGGTAGGTTCTTGATTGGTAAGGGGATCAAGGGTATGGGAGAAGGCAGAAGAATGGGGTTGAGCACTTATCATCCATGATTGAATGGCAGTGCAAACCAATGGGCCGAATGGCCTAATTCTGCTCCTGTGTCTTACGGGCATATGATCTTATAGAACTAGTTATAAAGGTCTGTAATCTGGAAAGCTTTACGAACGGTTTGGAGGTGATAAGCTTCTGAGTGTTTTCCCAGAAGTGGCCACATGGTAAGCTGGGGTGTTGAAAATGCACTTTGAAAAGCAACAGCATCAGGGCTGTCGTGACTCAAGGGAGAGAGAATTTAGAGAAGCATGCTTTGCTGACAGTAACTGTACCTGCAAAACATGAAAGAGAAATTTATTGTCAGTTGCCACACCACATAAACAGTGAACAGGATATTGTAGAACTTTATGGCAATGTAATGCCATGTATCTGTGACAAGAGGAACTGTACAGCTGCTTATGGTTCTGTCGGACATAACTTCACAGTGACTGTTTTAAAGTGAAATGTACCTTTTGTTTAAAGTACCATTTTCTTGTGTGACATGATTCATGTTAAAGTGCGAGCTCCAAAACGTGCAATCTTGTAGGTAATTTCTTCTGTTGGGTAAATCATTCAGTAAATCAATTCACTTTCATTTCAAGTTTCCTCATGGTGTGTATAGTGAACAGTAACAGCCGGTTATTTGTCTATCAGCCACTTGGTAACTGATGCCAAAAATGAAGTTGGATGTATTTTACTTTCAAGACTGTGTTTTGGATTTTTTGTGTGTGTCTGTCTGTTCCTTTGTACATTTACAAACTGGAACGGTTTCCTTCAATGCAAAATAATTTGTTTCAGCAGATCTTTCAACCACTACAGCTCCAGATTTCAAGGGCATCAATTTTTCAGGACGCGCTGCAAGGCTTAAAGACTCAATCAGCTGCTTATTTTACAACAATTCAGGTACAGAACTGTTGCCTTTCAATAAGTGGTGATCTTTTTTTCACTTGAAAGGCAGTTTTACAAATCTAATTGTCAACTCAGCATTAAAATAGCTTTTACGAACTAATTGATATCTTTTGCACGTGAGGTCAAAAGGTCTAATTCTGACTGCATTTTAAAGTATCTATTTTTGGTCAGTATTTTTACAAATTTTTTGGGAATTTGGGAAACCCAGGAGCTGGATCAGCTGCAGGGAGATGATTTTCTGCAGACCAGGTCAAGGATCCTGCCCCAAGTGCACCACCATCCTTTGTCCACCAGCTACAGATTGATTTTTAATCAATGAGGGGATCATGGGTTATGGGGGAAAAGGCAGGGAAGTGGAATTATGGATGATCAGATCAGCCATGGTCTCACTGAATGCCGGAGCAGACTCAATAGGCTGAATGGCCTATTTCTGCTTCTACATCTGATGGTCAAATACCTTCTGATGCAGGTGCTTGAAGCTGAATGAAGGTCTGTCCACAAAGCAAGAACCCATGTAAAATGGAAGCAGAGGTCTGACTGGCTTGTCAGTGTTCCAGTCTCATTCAGAAAATTTCTAATGTACTTCTTACATGATTAGAGTGTGCTGAAAGATCCCTTTGATCTTGGGGTCCGGGGTTTACAATATGCTATATCAGCTTGTAATTAATTGATTCTCTATTAGCAATCCTTTAAGAATTCAACTAGCATGTTCAATATGTGATAACTTTTATCCGTTCTTAACCATGCCATCTAATGGGATGGTTATTACTCAGGTCATAAAATAATACTAACACATTTTTGATTATTCGTATGCTGGTAATTCATAAGAAATGTGACATTATATATTTCAATGAACAACGGTGTATGACCTGAGAAAAGGGACACCAAAGGATATCAAAACACAAAGCTCTCAAATATTTTGGAATGCGTTAGCATTAACTTCTTGCCATTTCAGGTCAGGTTTAATGGTGAACCATGTTATGGCCATGGGGTATCTCAGGAGTTCTTCACCCTCTTTACTCAAGAACTGTATAGCAATGGACGGCTATTCAAACCCAAGAAATGTTCTAAGCTACTTTGGTTCCCTAAGTGGGTAAGGCTTATTATAATGTGTGACTGATAAAAATGTGCAATGGAAATCCCAAAAACATGCAGGAGCTGCACTTTTTGTTCTTATTGCATGTCTAATGCATAGGATAAGTGGATTTTAATGGACAAGAGTTTGATTTACCATATGGAAACCAATGCCTTCATGTCATGCAGTTAGTAAAACTTAAAAGCATTCATTAGAGGGATGTTGCTTTTCGCATTTTTTCCTGTTATACTTTGGGCACCTTATTTCTTATTGGTGCCCGAGTAATTTATCCATTTGAGAATTAAGGATGTCCCTATACTGTAGGTATTCTATCTTAGCCTTTCCTTGTTGACCAAGGATGGGCAATAAATACCTACCAGCCTTAGCAACTCTGCCCATAAATTAATAATTTATTATAAAAAAAATTGTTACTAATAGTAAAGTCTAAAAACTACCACTCCATAGCAATTCAGTTGCTATGTCATTCTCAACTGTTGATGTTACTGCACCCACAAATGTAATGAGACATTAGCTTTATAAATTTCCAAAATGCATTCATGATGGGTGGCTCCAGTGACATATAACCAGTGGAATTTTGTTTTCCTAGGGGTTCAGGCTTATTAGTTAAATATTAGATTGTTGAGAATGCTGAATAATGTGAAGGCAGATGTCCTGAGCAGAAATGTGCTACAAATTGGAGAGAAGACCCTCAATCAGGTCTCCTGCTTCCGTGAATGGTTGCAACGACTTGGAAATAATCACCTTTGCTTTAGATTCTTCATGTCAAAATCCAGGAATTCCCTCCCTTAGTGGTATTGTGCTGGTTCAAGAAGGCAGCTCACCACCACCTTCTCAAGGGCAACTAAGGATGGGCAATAAATGTTGGCTTAGTCAGTTATTCCCACAGCCCATGAGTGAATTAAATTGTTTTGAAAAACCATGTAGTTGGATAATTCTTAATATTGAGATTGGGACCATAGGATATTTCTTCATGATGGCCAAATTGATAAAATATTACAAAAAAGATGACTTTATGGATCCTTGAAGGATTACTGAAGTATGAGAGCCTGTTTCTTGCTAACATAATCTGTAATCCTGTTTACTATGTGCTCCTGCTATAGGCCCAAAACAAAGCAATGTTGTTATCAAAAGAAGATGCCTTGTAAAATAAATTGCATCAGTGTGGCATGTTCTAGAACATAGAACAGTACAGCACAGTACAAGCCCTTCGGCTCACGACGTTGAGCCAACCTATTATCCTACCTAAGATCATTCTATCCTCCACATGCCTATCCAAGAGTTGCTTAAAAGTCTCTAAAGTATCTGATTCCACTACCACTGCTGGCAGCACATTCCACACACCCACCACTCTCTGTGTAAAGAACCTACCTCTGACATCTCCCCTATATCTTCCTCCAACCACCTTAAAATTATGCCCCCTCGTAATAGTCATTTCTGCCCTGGGAAAAACTCTCTGACTATCCACTCTATCTATGCCTCTCATCATCTTGTACAACTCTATCAAGTCACATCTCATCCTTCTTTGCTCTAATGAGAAAAGCTCTAGCTCCCTCAACCTTTCCTCATAAGACCTGCCGTGCAGTCCAGGCAGCATCCTGGTAAATCTCCACTGCACCCTCTCTAAAGCTTCCACATCTTTCCTATAATGAGGTGACCAGAACTGAACGCAGGTATTCCAAGTATGGTCTAACCAGAGTTTTATAGAGCTGCAGCATAACCTCACAGCTCTTAAACTCAATTCCCCTGCCAATGAAAGCCAACACACCATACACCTTTTTTTACAACCCTATCAACTTGGGTAGCAACTTTGAGGGATCTGTGGACGTGGACCCCAAGATCCCTCTGTTCCTCCACACTGCAGAGAATCCTGCCATTAACCCTGTATTCTGCATTCAAATTCAACCTTCCAAAATGAATCACTTCACACTTTCAATTCGACCTTCCAAAATGAATCACTTCACACTTCTAAACTGAAGATCAGAATTTTAGAAAGCTCTTAGCTGGCAGATGAAGCTTTCCTCTGGGAGGACATGGTTAGAAAATTTCCCTACTGAAACCCTGATTATATTATTAAAAAGTATTGTAAAGACTTTGCAAGGAAGAATTTCACAATTTCATTCTTTTTTTTTTGCAATAGTTACAGGAACCAGAAATGGATGAAGCATTTTATTTGGTGGGAATTCTCTGCCGATTTGCTGTATCCAATGGTTTTATTTGTAATTTTCACTTCCCATTGGCTTTGTACAAAAAGCTGCTCAATGTGCCACCAACATTGGACGATCTGAAGGAACTTTCACCTACACTGGGAAAGTGAGTGAACTCTAAACATTTCCTCACACATTCATCAACTATGGGGAGATACCGGTGTCTATTAGACTAATAACCCAGAAGCTCAGTCTAATGCTCAGTGACATGGGGTCTAAACCCTACCAAGGCAGTTGGTTTAATTTAGATGCAAATAGTAAATCCAATATTAAGATTCAGTAACGGTGAAATGATGACTGGTCTCACTACCATTGAATATAACCCATTTTGTTCACTGGGGAAGTCTGCCATCCATATCTGGTCTGGTCCTACATGTGACTCAGACCCAGCGCAATGGGGTTGACTGTTGACTGCCTTCTGAAATGGCCTAGCAAGACACTCAATTCAAGGCTAATTAGGGATGAGAACAATTGCTGACCTTGCCATATTCTACAAAAGAATAAAGAAAAAATCCCCCAATTATCTAAACTTTAATGTGCCTTTTCCTGTTAATACAGATCATTCCAGGATATCCTTGACTATGAGTACGACGACATTGAAGACATATATTGTCAGAATTTTACTGTAAGTTTACTCCTGTGCCACATCACTAATGGACTTATTTTTCAAACTGTATTGAAAGTAAAATAGAAAGATAACCATATGGACTAGAAGGAACAGAGGAATAGGATATAACAAGTTGTAGAGCTGGATGAACACAGCAGTCCAAGCAGCATCAGAGGAGCAGGAAAGCTGACGTTTCGGGTCTAGACCCTTCTTCAGAAAAAAGAGGAGTAGCTCATTCAGATTTAGTGGAGCTCGCTATGACCATGTTTTCACAGTGCCATTTAGCTCAGTTGGATGGACATTTAGGTTGCAATGTAGAGTAACACCAACAGCGTGGGATCAATTCCTTTACCAGCTGAGATTACCATGAAGGATTCTCCATCTTAAACTTTCCTTCTGTTTTGAAGTGTGGTGACCCTTAATGAGAGAGTAAGCCTGTGGTCCACTGGGAAAAACAAAGAACAAAGAACAATACAGTGCAGGATCAGGCCCTTGGGCCCTCCAAGCCTGTGTCGACACATTTTTGCCCTTCCATACTCAAACTGTCTTCTCTTACAGGATCTGTATCCCTCTATTCCCTTCCTATTCATTCATTCGTCCTGGTGATTCTTGAATGATGCTATTATGTCTGCTTCCACCACCTCCTCTGGCAATGTGTTCCAGGCACTCACCACAATTTGTGTGAAAAACCTGCCTCGCACATCTCTTTTAAACTTTCCCCCCTGCACCTTGAACCTGTGTCACCTACTAATTGACCCCTCCACCCTGGGAAAAAGCCTCTTACTTTCTGCTCTGTCCATGCCATTCACAATCTTATTAACTTCTATCAGGTCGCCCCTCAACCTCTTGCATTCCAGTGAAAACAAACCCAGTCTATCCAACCTTTCTTCAGAACTAAAATCTCCCATACCAGGCAACATCCTGGTAAACCTTTTCTGTACCCTCCCCAAGGCATCCACATCCTTCTGGTAGTGTGGTGACCAGCATTGTACGCAATATTCCAAGTGTGCCCTAAATAAAGTTCTATAAAACTGCAGCATAATTTGCCTATCCTTATACTCAATGCCCTTCCAATGAAGGCAAGCATGCCTTAGGCCTTTTTTTACCACCTTTTCTACCTGCACTGCCACCTTCAGTGATCTGTGGACCTGCACACCCAGATCCCTCTACATATCAATACTCCTAAGGGTCCTGCCCTTCACTGTATAATTTCCACTGGTACTTGATGTTCCAAAATGCATCACCTCACATTTGTCTGGATTAAACTTCACCTGCCGTTTTTCTGCCCAAGCCTCCAACTGATCTATATACTGCTGTATCCTCCGACAATCCTCCTCACTATCCACAACACCACCAATCTTTGTATTGTCTGCAAACTTACTGATTAGACTAGCCACGTTTTCCTCCAAATCATTAATGTAGACCACAAACAGCAGAGGTCCCAGCACTGATCCCTGTGGAACACCACTAGTCACAACTCTCCATTCTAAAAAGCATCCTTCCACCACCACCCTCTGTCTTCTATGATTAAGCCAGTTCTGTACCATCTTTCCAGCTCACCCTGATACCATTGGACTTCACCTTTTGTACCAGTCTGCCATGAGGGACCTTGTCAAAGGCTTTACTGCAGTTCATGTAGACAACATCAACTACTTTTCCCTCACCAACCATCTTCGCCAAGTTGGGTCAAGGTGATGTGAAAGAACCTAAGAGGCTATTCAGTTCCTGGGGAAGGCTGCACAGAATGGCATCCTGGGGAAGCTGACACTGTAAGCAAAGTTTAAAAGTTAAGATTTAACCATAAAACATCCCTCCTGTTCTTACTCCCCTCACTCTCCGTGCCCCATCTATGACAACATATGTCCCTGCACCCATCCTCATGGGCATTCATACCCCCTATGCCTATCTACTCATACCCTGTGGCCTCTCATAGTCACTTTTCAACTCTATGCCTATCTCCCCACCCTGGGTAGGTTGTCAAAACCCCTTTGCTTCTGCACCAATCCATGCCCATAAAACTCAAGGTTAGTGAGGCACGATCTCCCCCGCACAAAACCATGCTATGGACTATGGTGACTTTACCTTTCACTCTGACCAGGAAGACCAAGAACAAATGTCATTAGTTTGAAGCATTGCCAGTTGTACCTCCACCAGCACTTCACTCGTCCCGAAAAGTACCTTTCTCCTGGAGGCTGTGCTGGCAGTAATCCATGTCAGATGCTATGATCAGGCAGCCTCTCTACAATAAATTCGACAGAATGAAACTTAGCTTTCCCAATGTCCATTTCCTGCTTTGCTTGGGGCTGCATAAGGTCCTAAAACAGGCGTAGGTCTCTGCATTGTCCTAACGACCTGCCCAATGTTCATTGTATGAGGTTAGCCCAGGGGTCCGAGAAAATATTTGAGCCCAATATTAGAATGGGTGTTGGGGAGGCTGGGGTCATTGGCAACAAGCAGGAAAGTGAAGTTGAGGCCAAGATCAGATCAATCATGATTTTATAGAAAGGCAAAGCAGACTCAAGGAATTCATCAACTCTTGCTATTACGATCCTATGCTTTCATAGACAACATTGCAGTCCAGCGAAATGGTTCATTTTTGCCCTGATTTCTGACTCGGCACAATGATGACTGATTTCTTCAACCAACTGGGTCAATTTTGTAACAAAAAGAGCAAATGGAGTAAATTTAGTCCCACCCAGTGATAAAATTCTGCTTACAAAGGTAAAAGAAAACTCTGCTGAACTGCTTTCTGAATTACAAGAGGTGACTAGGAGAAGCCAGAGGTAATGCAACCCTTGAAATCAACCCATAATGAAAATAATGAGATACAATGAGGAGATGTCAGTTTGGCTTATATACAGTTTTAAATTATGCTGCACTTACCCCAGACAAGGACATCCCAAAGCATTTAACGTCCAACTGAATACATTCTCAATAGTCATTGTTGTAACGTAATCTCCTTCAGACAGCAAGAAGTAACATGGCCAGATAATCCTCAGGATAAATATTAGCCATGATGCTGTAAAATCTCCCCCATCTTCCTTCAGATGGTGTCATTGGTTCATTTAATCCATATAAGGCACAGCACATTGGTTTTCAAAAAGTTACATTGGTTTCAGCTGTTGTGCTGCATTTTTGGGAAGCTGTAGTGATCAATCATTCAATGTTTTGACTATGCTGCAAGCTGCTAGAAAGAACTAGAAGCTGAAAGCTTCAAGAATGGAGCAGACATTTTAAAGCATTGGGTAAATCGCAATAAAGTTCCTGTGTACAAATAACCTGGTACCTAATTTCTGCAAAACTCTGAGACAAACATACACAATACACTGTGGAGAATGTGGTAGGTGAGGACTGAACTCTTGATTTACCTTTAATTCTTCCTAGAGGCCTCAGTTTCTTTTGCACGTCATTACATAAAACTACTCTCAGGGCTTTTCTGCTCCTTTTAATTTTGCCCACTCCTCTTTTTGTATAGCAGCTGACAGATATCAAGACTATGTCTCTGGGACAGGAGAGGTCCTGCGCACCATCCAAAAATGAGGCCTGGCCCAGAGTGGAGATGGGGGCAACAGATCTACCCCATTCCCCATGCCCAGAAACAAAACCACCTCCAAAATAAATTCACAGTTTAAAGAGCCTAAGTGAATTGATTGGATTAATGGGAAATGTGTAAATGAAAAGCTAAATGTGCTGAAGTTTGAACTTATTGCAGGGTATAGTTGAGAATTGTAGACAAACCTGGAGGAAATAAAGTACATTTCATAACTTTGTGTTTTATTTTTGCAGATAAACAAAAAAACAGCAGATGGCAACATAATTCAGCAGGAACTCATTCCTGATGGTAGCAATATACCTCTTCAAAAGCATAATAGGTAAATGTTCTCGATTTAATATTGACTGCTCAGTCATTACTGAACGAATTTGTCTTTGACTAATGTTGTATTTGTACCATGACCATATATCAGGTGTTTCCTCTGAGTGTCTATGAGCTCAAAATTTATATAAGCACGTGTGTTTCCCTCTTAGTTTCTTAGTGTTTCAACTTACAATAACCAGCAGCACAGTTTTGTGTTTTAAACAAGATAAAAGGTTGGCTTATTACACAACTAATGCTGAAAGTTTCTAAAGTGTATAGTGGCAAAGTTATTAGCCAAAGCATAGATGCAACTATTTAAAGTACAGATCAAAGTTACTTGTGAAGATAAGAGTGAGATCAGACTTTAATATCGTTTCAAATCTGACTTACTTCAACATACTTATTCTGATGTGAAGGGATTGAAACTTAGGTTTCAATTTCCATTCCTGGGTTGGTAGGATGCAGAGTTGGAACACATCTTAGAAACGGTCGCTCGTACTTCACATTTTTCATCCAAGGTTGTGGGCTGGATGGGGAGTTGGGTCAAGGTGATGTGAAAGAACCTAAGAGGCTATTCAGTTCCGGGGAGAAGGCTGCACAGAAAGGCATCCTGGGGAAGCTGACACTGTAAGCAAAGTTTAAAAGTTAAGATTTAAACATAAAACGTCCCTCCTGTTCTTAGTCCCCTCACTCTCCGTGCCCCATCTATGCCAACATATGCCCCTGCACCCATCCTCATGGGCATTCATACCCCCTGTGCCTATCTACTCATACCCTGTGGCCTCTCATAGTCCCTATTCAACTCTATGCCTATCTCCCCACCCTGGGTAGGTTGTCAAAACCCCTTTGCTTCTGCACCAATCCATGCCCGTAAAACCCCCATGCCCATGTACCCATCCCCGGCACTTTTCATGCTCCCTATTCAACATTATGCCTATCTCCCCACCTCAAGAAACCTGTCATAGCCCTATGCCCCTGCACCCAATCTCCCAGGCCGCTCACATACTCTGTGCCTATCTTCCCATCTACAACAGACCCTCTGCCCCTGCATGTATCCCTCACAGGCCACTCATTCCCAGGCCAGCCTCTCACTGCAGCCACTCTCTATAGATTTTCATTCTCCCCATTTCAGCTTATGCTTAATGACCCACTCTCTGGCCCGTGATCTACCTCACTGCACCTGTCCCTTATGGTCTCTCTTACTTCCTGTGCCATCCTATGCCCATTTCTCCCATGGCCTCTCACATGTCCCCAGTCATCATGCTCATATCCCCTATACCAACTCAATCCCAACTCATATTTCCCACCAGCACCCTTTACCTTTCCCTCCCTGTGGTTACTCACCTATTATCCAGCATGGGCATTAATCAGGAGACACATTAATGGTAGGCAGGTTTCGAGGAGTCAGAGGGGTGAGTTACTTATAACAGAATTTCTAGTCTCTGACCTGGCCTTAGCCACAGTGTTTATATGGCTGGTCCAGTTCAGTTTATGGTCAATGGTAACCCCATATTTTGAGACTTTTAGCCACTTGTTGACAGGTCTTGACAAGTCAACAGTTCCAGTTTATGCATCAATTATATTTAACTGTCCCAAAGGATACATGACACTCCTCCTCCCAAAGGTTCTCTGACCTCCACCCTCAAAGGATATCAGATAAGCACCAGATATTAAAAGTTGGTTAGAAAAAGTCCAGCTGTACACTTTCCTAGTCAGAGTTTTATTCCAGCTCACACTCTAGCAACTTCAATCCCACTTATTGTTTGTTGCATTGGGATATATAAAATGTACACCCAGGCAAGATCTCGTTCAGTTATTCCTGAATTAACATATAGCCATCACCTACTCCTTAATTCCATTTAGTTAAAGACATCCTTGCCAGACTGTACTAGTTGTAACAACCTCCACTCAACTCCCAAAGCAAATTAAATAAATACCTTTTTGCAACCCTTCCAAAAGTACCCTCTGACCTCCAACCTCAAGGGGCTCTATGACCACACTCAGAGGGGCACACAGCTCTCCAAAGGGGTGTGCTCACTCTCCAAATGAAATTCACTGAGAACAAACCTGCTTTTACTTGACCCAGTTTCCATATTCCGGGTTCCAGACACCGGGAACTCCAAAATCCCATTTCTGTGGGGGCAGCAGACATTTAAAAAGTCAGCTGACTCCAGGAACCCCACATGCATAAACTATAGCTCCCCTCCCACACTCTCTTGTGTTTCCCTCACCTCCCCATCCCCCCCAGCCAGAGCTAGATTTTTGTCCTGGATGCCTTTCTCTGTCTCCCTGTTGAGAAACACTTACCATTTCGTGATGACTCTCTCATGACTATCAAATGATTCTCCTCTCAAATGACTCTTCAACCAGCTTTTGTTGCAATCAAATGGAATGTTAATTTTGGTGAATCCTTGTTCCACTTGGATTTGAGGACTCTTTCATTCTCATTATCTATTGATTCACTACCCATAAGGTTGGCCCCAGTCCCCATGTTTTTACTCCTCATTGCCTCATCCAATTTGATTGCATGGTCCTTTGTGGTACATAGGAGAATTATACAAGAACAGTATCCACATCTTTTGTTGTCTGTGGGGAGTCCACACCCCTATCCCCCACAGATAACAATGATGAGGTATATACTGAGAACAGACACATTTTACCAATGCCTTTCCACTTGCATTCACCAGCAGAATTCACAAGATATATCTAAGTAAAAGGAAAATGGAATTTATATTGCATGAGAAGGGAGTGCTGATTGAAACTGGGAGCCACATATGTTAATCCACAGGGCCCTGTTCCTTGCAGACAGAAGGAACATACACACACCCTGAGCCTCTTTCAACTCAACAAAACAGACGGGAGTTAGCCATTCTGAGGTTAATTTTTCAGGCTAATGCCTTGACCAATCAGACTGAACCAGCCTGGTTTGAATTTAAACAAAGCTTGGCAGTTAGCTGTCAGTTAACATCTAACTGGTACATTATTCTGTTGGGATGTTCTACCACTCAAAGTTCATTTGCCACCAATGTTACTCTCCTACCGTACAAATGTTTTTTTTTTCCTTTTTCCCCTTTATTGCTACTGTTATGAATTTTCCTGATGAGTACAAAATCAAAATTTTGAACACAATGTTTGTTTCTTCAAAAATACTAATGTCAATTATGTTGAAATACCTTGTGCTGCACCTCCTGTCTCCTGTTCAAAATGACTGAAGCTGAGTCTTCATATCTTTTGAGAGCTCGTTGAGTAGTTCTTGAATCCTGGAATTATATAATGATCCTTTGCGATTGACCTTAAGATGACCCTTTTAACTAGACATTTGTAACAATTTATTGTACTGTTCAATCAAATGTTACATAGCTAGACTATAGCACCATTGGTTATGGATTACGGTGTTATATATTGGTTAGGGATAGTTACTTATCTCAGTATTTCACATTGTTTGCAATTATATTCTTTGCTTCCCGAAAGTTTGGTGGTTTCATGGTTGTCAGTAGCTCCCCCAGTTACTCTCTCATTCATTCTTTGTTCATTCATTTTTCTGTTCCAAAGAAGATTCATGTTAGTCTTGAAACATTGACTTTGCTTCTCTCTCTGCAGATGCTGCCAAAACAGCTGAGTTTCATTGGCACTTTCTGTTTTTATTTTATTTAGTTTAGTGCACATGATGGTCAGTCACAGAAGTATAGTCACATAAGGCTGTAGAAACAAAACAGAAATTTATAATGTTAAAGAAGAAACCAAAGAAAGCTTTCTTGATATAGAAGACAATTTAGAAAACTATTGTAGCACACAGCAAAACAACATTTTCAACCTATTTTCCAACAATGAACATTATCTCGCTGGTTCAAATTTTTTAATTCTCCTGAATCTATTCTCCCTAGTTTCTTTCCAATGAGCTGTGGAGTATTCCTACATGAATACTTGTAAAATTGAGCTCAGCTTCTAATAACGTGCAGATCTCTAACCAAATTCTTCTGACTTGGAAGCTGTACAAACTAATGTTTTCTACTACAGTTGGTCTGACAGAATCTGTGGAGAGAATCAGAGTTGATGTTTCAGATCCAGTATCCTTTACTCAGAACAGTTCTGAGGAAGTCACTGGACTTGAAATATTAACTCTGATTCTCTCCACAGATGCTGCCAGACCTACAGAACTCTTCCAGCAATTTTCGTTTTTGTTTCTGATTTAAAGCATCTGCAGTTCTTGTGTTCTTTTTTCAACTAAAGTGCCTGTTTTCCATGAGATTTTCTAAACTTCTTTAAGGAGAAAAATAAACTTACTCTGACCCCTGTCAATTCTAACTGTCTTAAAAAGTTTCAACCTCTGTGTTTTCTAAACTGAAATCAATTATTGATTATTCTGAACTTAAAACCAGCTAATGACCTTCAGTATTTACCCACCTGTTGTAAACCATTAAAATATAACCAATTTTCCATTAACACACCTGAGGGGTCTACAGCCATATGGTTTCTGAGCAATGCTGGAATAAAGACACTGATTCACAAGGACTCTGACCTTGCTTTCTTTTGAAGATATCTTCATAGAAGTGAATCACATTCACCTGCCTGTGTGGTCAAATTCACTTTCTGAAAATGATATTAATAAGTCTAAATTATACATCTTTCATCACAACAGGCTCAACGTGCTCCCATGCAGTCCATTCCTATTTCCCAGGAAATTAAGCCAATGTGATAGACAGGGTAGAATATGAACTTCTAAAGCAAAAGATTTCACACACAGATGAAATTATTTGTGTTTTCTTGTGGTAAGATGATTAAGGTGATCAAATGGAGGTGTCATGTCTACATTATGCATTATCTCATTTTATTTTTGTTTAAATAGAAAACAGTATGTTGATGCTGTGGTGGATTATAAGCTAAACATATCAGTGAAGAAACAATTTGAAGCCTTTTCTAGAGGTTTCAGGAGCATATATTCACTGCCAATTGTGGACACATTCCTACCTGAAGAACTAAGGGATGTTATCCAGGGGAACACCAAATACGAGTGGGAGTTGCTGGAACAGGTATGGCGTTGTGATGCATATTTACTTTTCAGTGTCCTTGACAATGATTGTCTGTACAGGAATGAATGCAGTGTCATAGCACATTTGTCCAAAAGAGGCTTGGGGATTCTATGATTCTAAAAACTTCAAACCACATCAACAAAGCCAGAACCAGGGGTCACAGTTTAAGGATGTGGGGTAAGCCATTTAGTATTGAGACGAGGAGAACTTTCTTCACCCAGAGAGTGGTGAGCCTCTGTGAATTCTCTGCCACAAAAAGCATTTGAGGCTGAAACATTGAATATGTTCAAGAAGAAGTTAGATGTAGATTTTAGGGCTAAAGGGATCAAAGGGTATAGCGGAGAAAGTAGGGACAGGATACTAATTGTACAGGTGAGACCACACCTGGAATATTGTGTGCAGTTCTGGTCTTCCTATGTGAGGATGGATGTTCTGGCTATGGAGGAAGTGAAACAAAGATTTGCCAGACTGATTCCTGGGCACCAGCGATAATGGTGCTGGGGTAGGAAGAGAAGCAATTGCAAGTGATTCTCTGCCTTTAATTGGATGGATAAGTATGGAACCACATAAGAGCAATCCCACCCACCTGAGCAACAGTGGAGAGGCTTTGGAGGAGGTTAACTGTATCAAAAGCTGTGGACTAGTTGAGAAGGGTGAGGTGGGAAAGTTTACCTCTGTTGCTGAAATAGTCATAGAATCTCTACAGCGTGGAAACAGGCCCTTCAGCCCAATAAGTCCACGCTGACACTCAGAGCATCCCACCCAGACCCACCCCCCTCTAACCTATCGAATGTACACATCCCTGGACTCTATGGGCAACTTAGCATGGCCAATCCACCTAGCCTGCACATCTTTGGACTGTGGGAGGAAACCGGAGCACCCGGAGGAAACTCACGCAGACACGGGGAGAATGTGCAAACTCCACACAGACAGTCGCCCATGGGGTGGAGTTGAACCTGGATCCCTGGCGCTGTGAGGCAGCAGTGCTAACTACTGAGCCATCGTTTCTTACCAAGAAAGCGCCATTTGGTGAAGGAGGAAACTGGAGTGAATTTTTACTTGGTATATTCCCAGATTGAACCGTTACAGGTACAACCTCCTCACTGATGAGTCCGAATGTCAGTACGAATCTCTTTACATCTGCTCAAGTAATCATCAAATCAGTGCCCTCCATTTGCTAATACTTAATGATTACATTACAAAGAATGTCATTTGTCTCTTTGGTAATAGCCATTTGGGCTCTGTTGCAGGGACAGAGGCCTGATCAAAGGGTTTCAAAAAGACATTTAGGAAAGATGGGAATGGACTTGAGACCATACATCTTTTGCAATACCTCAATTATATCACTCCTCAACTCAGATCAGCCATGATCTCACTGAAGTAGACTCGATGCAATGAGTGACCTATGTTTGCTGTTACATCTTCTGGTCTTGTGGCCTAATCTAAACTCGAGGGAATACAGTGCCAACCAAACAATGTTTTATATTTACAGAATGCAAAATACTGCGATTACCAACAAACTGACAGAGCAGTCAGGAATTTTTGGAAAGTCTTTGCAAGCTTACCAGAAGAGAAGAAAAAGCGGTTTCTTGGTAAGTAGGCTTTGTGCATTTAAATGGCCATAATGGACATATGTGTATCTTAACATGGCTCATTACCAAGCTGAGACTGTTTTTATTTGGGCGGCACAGTGGAGCAGTGGTTAGCCTTACAGCGCCAGGAACCCAGGTTCGATTCTGCCCTCAGTTGACTGTGTGGAGTTTGCACATTCTCCCTATGTCTGCATGGGTTTCCTCCTGGTGCTCTGGTTTCCTCCCACAGTCCAAAGATGTGCAGGCTAGGTGGATTGGCCGTGCTAAGTTGCCCATAGTGTTCAGGGAGGTGTAGATTAGGTGGGTTACAGGGGGATGGGTGTGGGTGGGATGCTCTGAGTGTCATTGTGGACTTGTTGGGCCTAAGGGCCTGTTTCCACACTGTAGGGATTCTATGATTCTAATAAAGAATTTATTAATGTAGCCATCCAAGGTGTTGGATCTTAAGATACCATAAAGGATCCTAGTGTATATCACTAAAGGAGGACATTCAGCCCATCCAAGCATGCTAATTAGGAGTAGGATGAGAGGTAGTCCATTCAGTCCCTCAAGCCTATTCCACCATTCATTAAGAACATAGCTGCTGTGAATGTGGCCTCACTGCGTGAGTTCATAGTAAAAGTTCATCAATTAGTCCCACTCTCCTGCTCTTTCCTCATAGGCCTGCATTCTATTCCTTTTCTCAAGTATTTCCACCTCACTCTTTTTTTAATATTACCATTGAGTGTTCTTCCACCATCCATTCAGCCTATGACTGCGAGATCAGAACAATTCATCGCACAAAGGAAATTCTCATCTCCCCTCTGGATATTTCACCAATGATTTTAAGTCTATGTCCTCTAGTTATGGGATCTTCTACCAGGGGAGCCAATTTCTCCTTATCTTTTCTATCAAACACTCCAGAAGTTTCAAACACCTCATAAATTTTTTTCTGCACCCGATGTGGCCCAAGGAGAACAATCCCAGCCTCCAATATTGTTCACATCATTGAAGTCCCTCATTTCCAAGACTATCTTGATTTTATTGCTTATTTATGTCTAGAATGTCTTTGATACAATTACTCATGATAGGTTAATGCATAATTATATAGATGTTTGCGCCTTAGAGTGAATAATATCAAGGCTGCTGATTTATTGACTAAATATGTGAAATGTTCTTAAATGATATTTGGGCATTTTTGCTGGTGGTTTTGAAGTTCACATTCTGTTTTAAAGACAACTGTAACAAGTCCCAAATCTCTCATTAGAGAGAGGTGATTGGTGGTGGTTTAACCTAAGGGTCACCACCCCACAGGCAAGGGAGGAGGTTGAGAAGGAGAGTGCTTCATGGTAATTTCAGCCAGTGCAGGAATTTAACCCATGCAATTCGCATAAGTCTGCATTACAAACCATCCATCCAGCCAACTGAGCTAACCAACTCCATCCACAAAATAGGCCACCTAAGTTGGACATTCGGCACTGATGCTACTGGCTTTTTTGTAGTTATTTCTAGTTCAGCCACAAAAAGCAGGGTCAAAGAACCAGGGCTGAGGATGGAAAATCCCTACATTGGCAGCTCGGTGGCTCAGTGGTTAGCACTGCTGCCTCACAGCACCAGGGACCCGGGTTTGATTCCACTCTTGGGCGACTGTCTGTATGGAGTTTGCACATTCTCCCCATGTCTGCATGGGTTTCCTCTGGGTGCTCCGGTTTCCTCCCACCGTCCAAAGTTGTGCAAGCCAGGTGGATTGGCCATGCTAAAATTGCCCGTTCAGGGATGTGAGGAATAGGTGAATTATGCGGGATGTGTCTGGGTGGGATGCTCTGAGGGTCAGTGTGGACTAGTTGGGCTGAAGGACCTGTTTCCACACTGTGGGGATTCTATGAAACTCAACCTTAATTGAAAGCTAGCATCTGTTGAGACTAAATGCAGAATCAGGAAGGAGCATCTCCAAAGAGCACTTATGGATCCTAAGGTGGAGAGCCCAGAGAGAGAGGAGGCTGAAGCCACTGAGTATATGGCAGATGTGATACCACAGGGTACGAGTTGTTATCTTTCAGAGGCAATCGCAAAGAAGATCTGAGATCCCAAACATTCTTTTGCCCTTTATGAATAAACTATATCTGTATAGTCTGAATTAGACTTTAATTTCACTGATTACTTTCCTCTCATCCTTAGTCTTTCTGTCAGGAACTGACAGAATCCCAGCAGGAGGGATTCGGAATTACTGTATTACGATTTTGAAAAGCCGGACCAATGAACCAGATTCCTCGTATCCTCGTGCCTACACCTGTAGCAAGACCTTGGACCTCCCCAACTATAGCAGCATCAAAATATTGAGCGAAAAGTTACTTCATGCAATTGAATTCAGTGAAAAATTCAATGCACAACCACCCTAATATTTGCAGCCGGGGTTTTTATTTATTTAATCTGAGCGAAGTTGGCGATTAACTAAAGAAATCTGACTCAATACAATAAATTGCATTTGTTTCATTACAGCACAGAAAGCATCCAGTACTCATATGGTGTTGCTGTACTTTAAATCTCCTCTACTCAAATGAAAAATATATAGACCATAGAATATATAGAATACATAGAATATATAGAATATATATAGAATAATATATAACAAGACTAGCATTTATTTCCTAATCCTAATATCCCTCGAGAGGGTAATGGCGAGACAACAAAGTGACTTCATCGGCTATTTGAAAGGGCAGCTTAAGAGTCAAACACATTTCCTTAAGTCTAGAGCCACATATAGTCAAGACCCCATAAAGGCAGCAGCTATTTCTGAATCACAATCATAGTCCACTAGTTTCACTTTTTATCTTATATGTATTTAATTGAATTTAGAATTCTAGCTACTATGGTGAGATTTGAAGGTATGTCTCTCAAATGCAAGCCTTTGGATGACTGGACGCTTCATGCAATCACTAAGTTTTTGTACCATATATTCAGTCATGTGCTGTACCTAGCTGTAGGAATGACGCTAATACAGCAGAACTGGTACGAAGGCCGGGGATGGGGTATATATTACATACATGTTGAGGAAGGTTTTGTGACTGCTAGTGGTATGACCAATGTTTACATTAATCCTCATTAACAAAAATGGATGTGATAACACAATAAGTGGAGCAAACATATAATCTATTCTGAGAAATTGAAGGGTGGGTCCTGCAGTTATTACAAATTGTATCAAACAGAACCAGTACAACAACATGTCAGATAAAATAACATTGAATGAACACCAAAGAGATTGGCCTTTTATTGTATCCTGCCCAGGCCAACATCTGCACTCAAAATGAGCTGCCATCCCATCATTCTTCATGTAACTCTTATCAGCATAATTATTTGAGGCTGCCTATTTCATGTGTTTATCAACACCAGCACTATGACCATCAATTAATTACCATCCATATTATTTGTCTCAGGTTTGTAAATAATTAGTTTATGGAATTCGAGTGTTGCTTGTCAAGGCCAACACATATTGCTGATCTCTAATTTTCCTGGAGAAGGCGGCAGTCAGCTGTTTCTTGAACCCCGCATTCCATTTCATGTAGGTACACCCATAGTGCCTGCCATTAGGACAGGAGTCCATCACGTCTGGTAGAGAGTTCCAAATTCTCACCACTATCTGGGTGGAGAAGCTTCTTCTGAGTTCTATTTGATTTCTTGATGACAATTTTATATTGATGGACTTTAGCAATTTTTTCCACAAATGGAAACAATCTGTACTTCATCAAAACCTTTCAACATCAAAAAGGCAGGCATCAGGCATCATCTTTCAAGAAAAACAGTCACAGCCTGTTCAACCTTTACCATTGAAAGTAGGGTCACATTTTTTGCACTCTCTTTAGCTCGTTTATATACTATTTTTATAATGTGACAGTACTGTACAGATTTGTGATTCTTAATTTTTAATATTTTAATACCTGACCACTTTTTTCTCCCAGAATGTAATGTCTCAGTTATCTGGTGTGAAACTCATTGCCAATGATACTCTCATTCTGTAACTTTATTCTGCATGCTGTTAATTGTTCATTTGAAACACATTTTTACCAAAGTTATTTGAAGAATCTGGAACAATGCATTGTTGTTACTAATGCATTGTGGAATGTAATTCTTTTCATGTGTAAACAGCTATTCATAAATTTATTGCAAGAATTATAATTAAAATAAATGCTTTGTTGACTTTTATTCTGTATTGCATCAGAGCTAAGTTATTGAGTGCTAAGAGTTTTCATCGTTGCTTGAGTTGGAAACGGACAAGAGGTCGTTGGTGTCTCAGTCATTGCTGTCCTTCCACATGATTGCGGCTTCAGTCTGTTGTTGATTTTATGGATACAATGCCTTTTCGTCGCCAATCTCACGGACACAAGCAGATCAATCTATCACCTGGCTCCTTACAATTTCTTGCACCTTTCTCAACCCAGTGCTGATTATATAACCATCAAAGTATCACTGTATGCTCCCTACACAAAGTGAATGCAGTCCATAGTACGTAACAGCTTTTGAATGTTTCTTTTTGAAAGTATACTCCAGCATGAGGGACATAAAATCTTCATACGCTATATTGTTCTTTTTTCTTCAGCCTCACAGTTCCACTGGTGTCAAAGATTGTATGGGAAAATCCTCAGAGTTGCCAAAAACAAGAGGAAGCCATTTGAGCCTTCAAGCCAGTTTTAACATTAAATCAGGTCATTTCTACACGCAGGTTAGGAGCAGAAGTAGGCCATTTGGATCCTTCAACACCTTCTGCCATTTAATAAGATAATGACTGATCATCCCAACCACTTGCTGTATATCAAGGGTTTTTCCTCACATTGCTGACTTTCATTTTGCCAGTCACCCTAAATCGTGTCCTCTGCTTCTGGATCCTTCTGTCAATAGAAACAGCTTCTCCTCATCTACCATGGCCAGACTCTCCATTATTTTGAACATATATATTTTCTTAAACTTCTCCTCTGAGGAGAAGAATCCAGGTTTGTCCAATCTATCAATATAACTCAAGTTCCTCTGGAATCGTTCTTGAGAATCTTTTCTGCACTCTCTCCAAAGTGTTATGGACAAGACCAGAGCCATTCAAAATATTTTAAGAAGGTAGCCTAGACCATAACTTTTTCTTATTTTAAAGGCAAATATAAAGTGCCATGTTCCAGATGCAATGCGCCTGGTCAAACTACTCAACGTTAAGCTAAACACAATTTATTTAAATGCAATAGTTAAAATACAACAACGGAAAGAAGAACTTAAAATAACTTAACTCTGTTGGAAAACTTAACAGAATAAGAAATACTGTAACTATTACTAATTAACAGTTCCAATATAGTAACATCCCATAAACACACTCCTTGGCAAAAAGGCAAATTCAGAAAAACAGATTTTGTCCCGAGTGCAATCTAGCAGCCTAGGAAAAGAACCCCCAGCTTTTGGCTGTAATCAAGAGAGGGAAAAATAGCTTCCCCTTCTTCAAGCCCACAATAGCAACTGCTGAAAGCTACACCTAAAAACTAAGAAAAAAACTAGAAACTCCAATTTGGGAGAGCTGGCCACAGGCTGGTTCAATTATTCCAACTTTTAAAAAAAACCCCAAGGCCTCTCAATCTGTTTACTGTAGTGGTTTTGGTAGACTGCTTTCACCTCTGCCTTACAACTTCTCTTCAAAACAAAACAGCACAAAATACCCTCTTAAAGCCACAGCATCATGACAAATGCTCTCATGTTCTCTCTAAAGTAATGCCCAGAATTGGACACAATAATCTAGTTGAGGGCAAACCAGTTTGATCACAGCTTTCTTATTTCTCTCACTAATGTTGTTGTTTCTAAAGCCCACGGTCCCACATTTTTATTAACTACTTTCTCAGCCTGCCATCTTCAATGATTTGTGCAGGGATATAAGGCTAAGCCAGTACACCACCTCCCATCATTACACATGAGTTTGAGTGCATGGACTGAGAAATGGAAAATGGAATTGTATCTTCAGGTAACATTGACATTTAGGCTTTTGTTAGTCTCAATGAGAAATTGGTTTCACTCACACAGTAAGCAACAAATAGAAGTGGATGTCTTGGAAGCAAATAGAGTAAAAAGAACATTGCCTTTCCATAACTGGAAGGATTTGTTTTTCAAAGGTAAAAGTATATTGTAATAACAAGATTAGGTCATACCTTTGAAAAACAAACATTTCCTCATGGAAAGACAATGTTCTTTCTGCTCTATATGAAACACATCTGCTTCCAGTTGATACTTGAATTTGTTCTGCCATCTTAGGTCCATTACCCCAACATCATTTACCCTTGTTACCCTTTGGTGATATCTAGAAATCTATTGAGATCAGTCTTGAATATAGAAGGGAAGTGAGCCTCCATAGCCCTCCGGGGCAGAGAATTCCAAAGGTTTGTCACCCTGTATGTGAAGAAACTCCTCCTTATCCTAGTCCTAAATGGCCGGCTATTTATCCAGAGACAGGGTTTCCTAGTTCTAGTATCAACTCTCTCCACCCCGCAGCCAGGGGAAAAAAGCTTTTTCTACATCCCCCTTGTATAATCCTATACAACTTTTAATGAGATCACCTCTGAATTTTCTAAACTCTGGGGAGTACAGGTCCAGTCTCCTCAATCTGAGCTCTATCTAAGAGAGGGATTTTTAAACCACATGGTCAGGAAGGAACACTACTATTGTGAGGAGACTTCACCTGAGTGAGACAAAGGCTCAGTGAGTACATCTGGGAATTTGGTTCAAAGTGGGAATTTCATCACAGAAGCCAACCTCCCTTTCATGGACTCCATTTACACTTCTCATTGCCGCAGAAAGGCTGTCAATATCATTAAAGACCCATCCAATGCTCTGTTCCATCAGGCAGAAGATATAGAAGCAAGAACACACGCACCAAGCAGTTCAAGAACAGCTTCTTCCCTGCTGTTGTTAGACTAATGAATGGACTGTCTAACTTCAAATAATGTTGACATTGTTAATGTTGACCTTGCTTCGTGCAATTCCTATACAGTGTAATCTGAATGCCTTACTCTGTCTGAGTACCCTATGATCTGTATGTCCTTGCTTGCCATGATCTGTCTGTACTGCTCGCAGAGAAAGCTTTTCACTGTAGTTAGGTGACTACAATAAATCAAATCAAATCATCTTTTTGAAGTTCAATTTTAGAGTATAAGTCAGATTTAGACCGAGAATAGATTTTAAGCAAATTAAACAGGCAGCCTAATCATGTCAATTACCTTTCAAACATCTGAAATCCTGAGTGAGGTGTTGACTACTGTAGCAGGACATAAAGCTAAATGCATTAAAGCTCTAAATAAGAAACAAATTTTAAACCGTTAGGGCAGTAGAGCACAAAGGAGACTTCACCTGAGAGAGATAGAAGAATCTGACTCCAAGGCCAAAACACAGATTCTAAACAAGGCCTCTCACCCAACATGCATTGTCTGATCTAAAATGTCACCTTTTCTTTACACTGATAAAATATTTAGTTCTCTCAGGGCAGTGACTTGAAAGAAATTTGGGGATTTACTGATATATATATTAATAATTAAAACCTTCTACCTAATTAAAGGTTTAACTGCATCTTAGGTTTGTTTAATACATCCTCATCAGTGGTGTGACCCTTTGATCTTTTAGTTATAAATTCTGTGTCCGATACTACCTCTCTCACTAACACTTGAAGAAGGAGCGAGGCTCGGAAAGCTTATGTTTTCAAATAAACCTGTTGGACTATAACCTGGTGTTGTGTGATTTCTGACTTTGTCCACCCCACTCCAACACCAGCACCTCCATATCGTCAGTTCCCAATTGTTTGAAGGGGGAATAATAAAGCAGGCAGAGAGAGAGGGAGGAGGGAGGATTTTGTGTTGGGCGGAGTTGGGCTCAGGGAGGAGCCAGAATCCTTGTTCACAGTCAGAAGAGATTCTCAAAGGAGAAAGGGTTCAGCATGTTTGCAGCTGGGAAGGAATCACTGTGCTTGTGTTGGAAAATGGAAAAGTTTATACCAAAGCCCACATGTGGAAGTGAAAATCAGCACCTGGTGAGGAGATAGAAATATTACAATCCTGTTGATAATGGGAAGGATAATTGTTAAGGAGACCAAAACTGCACACAATACACTGGGTGTAGTCTCACTAAAGCACTGTACAATTGCACTGTGACATCCCTGCTCCTGCACCTGAATTCTGTCACTACACAGGCCAATGTACCATTTGCCTTCTTCATTGCCAGCTGCATCAGCATGCTTACTTTCAGTGACTAGTGTCCAAGAAACCCTGATCTCATTGCATGTCTCCCTCTTCCAGTCTATCACCACGCAGATCATCTTCCTTCCTGTTTTTGCTACCAAAATGGATAACCTCATATTTATCCACATCATTCTTCATCTGCCATACATAAGCCCACTCACTCAACTTGTCCAAATCACATTGAAGCATCTCTGCATCCTCCTGACAACTTACCTTCCCACTCAGGTTTGTGTCATCTGTGAACTTTGAGATATTACATTTAGTTTCCTCATCTAAATCATTAGATATATTATGAATAGTTGGGATCCAAGCACTGATCCTGACAGTAACCCATTAGTCCCTGGCTGCCACTGAAGAAAAAAATGACCCACTTGTTTCTACGCTTTGTTTCCTGTCTGCCAACGAATTCTCTATCCATGTCCATACACTACTGTATCCCCCAATCAAGCGGATCTGTCTGTGTTTTGAACTTCCCTTTCCCATGTAGCACCCCCCTTCCCCCAACTGACAACCTTTGAATCCTTTGTGTAGCAAGAATCCATCTCACTCTGACATGATGTAAATTGCAAAAAGTTGAGACTCCAAAAGGCCCCTTTGGGACTCCACTTTTCCCATTCTACCAATCAGCAAAGACCCAATTATATATTCCCAGTTTCCGGCTCGGCAGCCAATCTTCTGTTCATGCTTATCCCTTTCCTGAACATTTATTTCCTGCAACAACCTTTGGTGTGGCATTGTATCATGTTCTTCTGGAAATCCATGTACAGTATGTCTATGGGCTCCCTTTTATCCGCAGCACCTGTTACTTCTACTAAATCATTTAAACATAATTTCCCTTTGATAAAACCAAAGCGCTTTTGACGCTTCCTGATTATGTCGAGTTCTTCTAGGTGGGCAGCTTTACTAAATGGTGGTAGCCACCGTTAAATACCCCTGCATCACCTCCCTCCTGGGGCTTCAGCCCAGTTTTTAGAACTGGTACTCTGGTATTTAATTGCCATCGCTCTCTGTGCAGGGTGTTCAAACTCATCCCTTCTGACCGAGATGAGAAGAGAGACACAGAGGTCTACAGCACAGAAAAAGGCCCTTCGGCCCATCGAGTCTGCATTGATTGAAAACAAGCTCCTTGTCAACACAGGTAGACACGTAAATACTTTTTAAACAATAGCCAAACCAATGTTTTATACAGTTCCAACATAATCTTCTTGCTTTTAAACTCTGTGTCATGGTTAATAAAGGCACCTATATGCCTTCTTAACCACGTAAACACTATTACACCTGGGTGGTCATTACATGTGGATATGAGTAGTCAGGCATCAATCCCATTTTTAGAGATGATATTCTCATGCCCATTTACTGGGATGATCAGGAGTGGGGCTCAAGTCTTTCACTTCCTGCTTCAAAGGTGAGAGAACTGTACTGAGTGGAACCATGTACATTCAGATATTTTGACTGCAGCAGAAATAGATTGTTAACAATTTATATCTAACTGTTTTAAAACCTTGAACATTCTCAGTACATAAGAGAAATTGGCATGCTGTATAAACCAGTTTTTTGCTTTCTCAGTTTTCTTACAAAAGTTAAACATGATCATTTTAAACTTAGAGTACACTTAGTGGAGTCAAAGATAATTTAACATCTTTTGCTATTTGTTTTCTGTTGAAAGATGGCCAAATATTTGCCTGGGGACAGAACACTTACAGCCAGCTTGGTCTTGGAACAAAAGATATTTCTCAGTGCACTCCTCAGCATGTGATATCCCTCACTGGGATGCCAGAGACACAGATCACTGCAGGAGGAGATCACAGCTTCACTCTGCCTCTCTCTGGGGCAGTGTTTGGATGGGGAAGAAATAATCATGGACTGCTGAGATACAAGGACACAGAAGGTAAGAAATTTTACAGAAACTATCGCCCCCTCCTTTTGCTTTCCATTGTTTCAAAGCAAGACTGTGCATCCATCCAAAACCAGAGAATTATTTAACAAGAGCTCAGATTTGCAATCAGTGGTGTTACATCTCCAGAAGCCCAATGATAGCAGATAGGACCAGAGCCAAATCATTACACTCTTAGGAGTTTTCATTTAAAGAGGTACATATTTAAAATTCACACCTCCAAAATCACAAACACACACCATTTCATTCTATCCTTCTGTGTCAGAACATATGTGAATCCCCAGGTAATACCTGAATACACAATTAAATGCTAATTTGATATACAATTAGCAAGTGGCGAAAATGGCATGCCATTGCCCTTGAAAAAAGTTGACAACAATGAAGGAGAATCAGATTGGACTCAAGCCATTAACTCTGTTTCTCTTTCCACAGATGCTGTCAGGCCTGCTGACTTTCTCCAGCATTTTCTGCTTCTGTTTTTATTTACAATTTCTAGCATCCACAGTATTTTGCTTTTATGTTATATACAACAATCCAGAGATCTCTGTTGTAGGGTTTTCCCCTTTCCTGACCTTAGCTTTAGTCTGGTGCCAGCAAAAAGAGATCTCTGCTGGTTGGTAATAATTGGCTACTCAGCTTGATGCAATCACATTGAAGAGTACTCACAGACATCAGTACAGGAAGTGAAGGCAAGTTTTTTTTTGTTCAGTTTTTACAATTATAAAATTAGTAAACTATTGATTTAGATTATACTACAAGATAAGCAAATTTAAAGTAATATTTTGAAACGCTAGTCATTAAATTTGGTGTAAAAAATGATAAATATGGAATTCCACAAATATACAATTAGGTTTTCGAGACCAGGCAATTTGTAAGTAAGACCATAAGATATGGAAACAGAATTAGGCCATTTGGCCCATTGAGTCTGCTCCATCATTCAATCATGGCTAATAAGTAATTCTGGCTTAATACACTACTAAAAATACACTTAAACCTCATCCAACAAGATATAATGCTTTCAAGAGTTCTGACAGTGGTACAAAGAGTTTGAGCAGTGAAAAACAATATCTAATTTATTTTTACTTATTCATGGGACGTGTGTGTCACTGGCTAGGCTGACATGTATTGCCTATCCCTAAATACACTTGAGAAGGTGGTGATGAACTGTCCTCCTGAACAGCTGCAATCCACGAGATGTGGAGCCAACAGAAAGAAGGAATGATCAGAGCACAACTGAGATAATATATGATTGAAACAAACTATGGGATTATAAGGCAAAATTGTAATTCATTGATATCGTTGAACCAGAAACGAATAGAGCCCTGGACTTCTTGCTCAGAAGAAAGCTGTATAACTAAACAAGACAGGAACACTCCAACTGAGAGGTGAGAGAATGCAAAATATTATCGAACTCGGAATGAGATCAGAACTTGATAAAGGAGATTAGTTGAAGCACCAAATAGACTAATCTGGTGAAGTCTGAGAATTTGCAGGAAGATGTTTAGAACATAATGGAGATAAGGATTTAGGGGAGATGTAGAGTAATGAGATTAACAATAGATGACGGTGACAATGTAGTAATGATATCAGAGCCATGAGGTTAATATTGAGAGCTGGAAGAAAACAAAAGCTTCAACCTTGTGTGAGGATAATGTATGTCCGGGTAAAGATGTAAGTAAGGGACTCTTGAAGAAAGTTCCATGGACTTGGGCAGCATTCTGTTTCAAAACTAAAGAGACTTAGACCCCAACCACACACTAACCAGGCATGTGGAATGTATTCCATAAACTCCTGATTTGTGCCTTGCAAATGGTGAATAGGCTTTGAGGAATCAGAGGTGAGTTACTCAACTCAGGATTTCACCTCTGACCTGCTCATGCAGCCAAAGTATATGACTGGTCCTGTTCAGTTTCTGGTCAATGGTAACCTCCAGGCTGTTGATAATTGGGGATATCATATATGTTATTCGGGTGGATGGGACTGTGGAATTAAGAATACAACAGATCAGCCACAGTCTGATTGAATGGTGGAACAGGTTTGGAGGGCTGAATTGTCTAATTCTGCTGCTAATTCATATGTTTGGATTCTGCAATGCAAATGCCATTGAATGTCAAGGGAGATGTATAGAGTGCTGACAAATCACTCTCCAGCATGAGGTTCATGGTTCTATCTTGGATTAAAAATGGGGTTTGCACCAAAAGATGAACTTAATCTACTTTAAATGCAGAGTACAAGTACTAACACTAGATGTACTGTGAACAGTGTTCAATCTTCACTCTGGAGTTCTCTGTAGAAGCATCTAATCTGATTATGCAGCTGGCTTTGTTATAGTAGAAGAGATTCTTCAGGCTTACATACTTTTTTTTGGAGAGTGTTGATTGTATCCATTACATCTACATGTATGATCCTGAACTCTCTTACAAGTTTTCCTTTAAATTCCTCTGATAAGGTCACACTGACTGCTCATCTTAAGGCACCTTACATTTGGTATCAAGGTACTCCATCACAAATTTCAAACTTTCATCTTCCTGCCGAGCTTTCCTCAGCCTTTGCTTTGCCAGTTTATTACAGAAATCTGAAGTCAGCTCACTCCCGAATTGTCCTCAATTTCCCTGTTGACGTCCTGTTGCGTTCCCTTCAGTTCTAAAGTCAGATGCAAACCATCCGTTTGTCTTTCCTGTGATTTCATTTTTCAAATTCCTGACTGCCCCACAATGACCAAATAATACAGGACATTTTATAGAGGAATAATATCATTTCTTTGCATTATTCTTCAACACAAGCAGTCTGTCTGACGGTTCACAGAATTTTGGAACAGAGATTTATAACAATGATAAGTGTACGGTTTGTGCAATAGAATAGTGAGGATTATTTTATTGTTAATAATTCCTTTTAACCTTCACATTTAATCCATTCCAATACCTTCTCTTCAAAATAGCTTGGGTTTTGTTGTTACTTTGCTAATTGGAATAAGAAAGTGAGCTAATTGCTCTTTTAACCCTTCTTGCAGACAGATTTGAGCTCAACCACGTGAGGCTGTTGGAGTGTAAAAGGACCATCTATATCTCTTGTAGAGAAGGGCACACTGTTGTCCTAACAAAGGTTTGTTAAGGAAAACACTGAAATTAAGATCTTCATGGTGCTTCTGATTGACATTGGAAGTTCTTTCATCTTTACTACAGCCCCATTTTGAGAAAAACAGACCAACGACAAAAGTGCTTAAGAAAAGAAATTAGAAAATGGCAGAGCTACTGTTCTTTCAAGATTCAAATGTGTGTGGCTTGAGTTAAGCCCTGCTCTGGGAAAGAGCACAATAGACAGAGTAGCTTTTAGTTGTTAGCAAAAGTGACAGGCCTCAACTTGCTGTTTCAGGTTCAATACAAGATATTGATTTATGAGTATGGACAATTAGAATATGTTTTCTGACTGCACAGTTTTCCGATGGAGTAGAATTAACACATTAACTATTTGCAAAGAATCTGCTTATACAAAGTAGGATCAGGTAAAGTTACAATTTTACACTATTAGATACCACTATGTTGTGTGATATTTGATAAAGCAGAAGAATTAACGAAACTAAAAGGGCACTGGACTATTGGGTGTGTGAGTTCCCCGAAGAACAAGCTGTCCAATGTGGATTAGGAAATCACCTTTTTGAACTATCTAGAAAAATGTTTTATTGAGTAAACAAAATGAAGTTTATTACGTGACAGCAATTATTTGTAGGCTGACTACGACCTACATTATCACAAAGATTGTTAGAAGCATATTATCCACAGGTCTGTCTCCCACAAACTCCTACTTTACTCTGACCAAGTTTTCGTGGCACCATCTCAATGAGTGATGGTCTCAATCAAGTATTGACCCTTTCATACCCATATGCAGCATAGATTGCTGGCACTTCAATACCAAGTACTTTGTGATGACGTTTTTGAAGAGGCAGACAGTGATGTATCTAAGTTTGCTAATAACTCAAAGCTAAGTGGAAAGTTAAGCAGAATAGATTATGTAAGTAGACAACAAGTACAATACAGTGAAGCGTCAAGTTATTCACATTGGTCACAGAATAGAAAAGTGGAATAATTTTTGAAAGGTGTGAAATTTGTAAATGTTGATGCTCAATAAGACTTTAATGCACTAGTAACAAACAATACAAAAATTTAGCATGCAGGTAAAGCAAGCAATTAGGAGGGGAAATGGCATGTTGGCCTTTATCACAAGACAATTGGAAAAGAGAAATAGAGAAGTCTTGCTTCACTTGTACAGGTGAGGCCAGATCTAGAACACACTGTGGAGATTGGATTTCCATATTTAAGGAAAAACATAGCTATATTGGGAGCAGTACAACAAAAGTTTACTAAATTGGTCTCTGAGATGAAGGGATGGTCTGATTATGAGAGGCTGAGTGAATTTGGCCTATATTGGTATGAGTTTTGAAGAATTAGGGGCAATCTCATTGACATACAAGATTCCAAAGTTCTGAAGAAGAGTCGCCACACTCGAAACTCTGTATCTCCCTCCACAGATACTGCTGAGTTTCTCCAGCACTTTCTGAATTGATTTCAGATTCTGAAGCAGTTTGATACATTAGACACTGAGAGATCATTTCCACTGCTCAGGGAATTGAAAACACAGGTATACAGTCTCATGATAAGGGCTGATCATTTAGGACTGAGATGAGGAGAAATTGTTTCTCAAAAGCTTATGAATCTCTGGACTTCACAATCCCAGAGCATTGTGGATGCTCCATCATTGAAAGAGTTGAGACTAGAATAGAAAGTTTTTGGTCTTGCAGTGGACATGGGGAGGAGGCAGGAAAGTGGAGTTGGATCAGCCACGGTTGTACTGAATCATGGAACAGGCTCAATGGATGATACAGTATGTGCTGCTGCTCCTACTTCTTGTATCCTTATCTTACTGCTAGTCATTCATCTGTGCTTTCTCCAGGTTGGACATGTTTACACCTTTGGAGCTGGGAATTACGGTCAATTTGGGCACAACGCCACAAAGGATGAGATCAAACCTCATCTGGTTGGTTACCTGTTTGAAAGTAAAGTCTCTCAAATAGCGTGTGGAAAATGGATTTGTAAAGCACCATCACATTGAAATGCAGATACAAGTACTCCAGTTTAGTGTTACCCTGTTCTGCATTGTTTGGCTTTAATATCATTAAATTACTAGGCCTGAAATCTTACTAAGTGTCAGGATGGTCATGATGACATTGTTTGCTGTAGTGAAGCTCTACTGAGCCCAGTTGGCATCATTTTGGGCTAACTTGTCCTTCTGTCAGACTTGAGGCTACTCCCCATTCTGCACCCTGCCCAAGATCTACATCAAGAAGAGTCTACCCACCATACTCCAGAATGGCCATTCAGCTCTTGAATTGCCCAGCTCCTCTGCAACTACAGCCCAACAGCATCCCTTCCAATCCTAACAAGACCACCACCATCTCCCACAATCTATTTGGACAGACAGAGTTGCCCTTCCTAGCCTGTAGCCATGACCAAACACAGCAGGCCCCAGTACTGCCCCACTTCCAAACCCTGGCAGACCATAATTGGCAGAACAGGAGAGCTGCTGAATTCCATTGTACCAATGTTCCCATCACCATCCAAGCCTCAGCCCAGACAAAAACCCAGTGGCTCCCCACACAGCTCCACCGTCCACGAGCCACAGCCCTAACCACCATCCCAAGAAAGAGGCAGAGGAGGAGAAGCCACTGAGCCAGCCACAACTATCATCTCACCAGCCAGGAGAACTGGAAGGAGGGCCAAGTCCCTACACCTACCCATAAGGAGCAATAATGGCTGAGTGCGTGGTATAAATGTGAGAACTAACTGTGATGAGGGGACTGTCGGCCAGCTCAAAGAAGTGGCTTTCGAGAGCTAGATAACTGTGGGCTTGGACAGTGTAATGGCACCAGCGTTTTGTGGCTTGGAATGCTGGGTGGAGTCCTGGGATAGATCCACAATGGAATCCTAGGCCCCATTTATTGTTAAAACTTCTGCTAAGGTCTGAAGAAACAATCTCTTCTCCAGACCCAATAGGAATCAGCAAAATCTTAGTAGAAAATGGGATATATCCATATCTAAGTGCACCTTCCCTACCAATCATAAGAATAGAATTCTCTTGTGCTTTAATCCCAAATCCTAATTCAGAGTTCAACACAAAAAGTTGTAGGAGAGTCAAAGTTCTCTCAATGTGAGTTACATTACATATATATACATTTACTTTACACAGTTATTACACACTTGCTTTTGTTCCATCATGTGACAAAATCTACTCTTTTGGTCGGGGAGAGAAAGGGCAACTGGGAAACAAAGAGACCAGGGATCAGTTAGTGTGTCTTCTCATCAACATAATGGATGTATTTGGCAATAGTGGACATGAAGATGGTAAGCAATGTAAAATGATATACTCATAACTGGCTCCCATAGTCAGGCTGTGTCAATAAAGCTACAACACTGACATCTATGTAGAAAACTGGTGGGGATGTCCTGTGCCCAAAAAGCGGGAAAAGTCCAATCCAACCAATGACTACCCCATCAGTCTATTATTCATCATCAGCAAAGTGATGGGACATATTAATTAGGAATAGCTGGAGGCCATTTGGCCCCTCCAGCTTCCTCTGTCATTCAGTAAGATCACGGGTGCTCAGATTGTGGTTCAAATTCAACATTCCCATCAATCCCCAATAATCCTGGATTCTCTTGCCTGATGAAAAAAATCAGTTTATCTCTGCCTTAAAAATATTCAATGACTCCATCTCCACCCTTTGTTTGCACAATCCTCTGTGAGGAAAAATAGGTTCCCCTCGTCTCTGTGGATGACCTCTAATTCTTAAACAATGACTCCCTAGTTTTGGACTCACCCACAGAAGGAAGGATCCTTTCCACATTTACCTTGTCAAGACCATTGAGGATCTTTACAGTGAATTTCAATTGAGATATCCCTCACTTTTTTAAACTCCAATGAATACAAGCCTAGTCTGGTGGGACTATTGTGGTGCAGTGGTAGTGTCTATACCTCCAAGCCAGAAGGCCTGGGTTCAAGTCCCACCTACTCCAAACACATGTAGTAACATCTCTGAGCAGGTCGATTAGAAAATAGCCACAAGCCCAGTCTGTCCAAGCTTTCCACATAAGACTTGCTTAGCAATAGCCTGGTCACTTATAAGTAGTTTGGGTTCTATTGGAGTCTTCAGTTCATGACCTAATTACACCCTTGGTTTGAACATCATACCTAGCACAAAGGAAGATGGTGCTGGCTGTGGGAGACCATTAAACTTGATTTTGAACACCTCTGCAGGAGTTCCCCAGGGTGGTTGTTTTTTAATCAACCTGTTAAGAGATGGTGGAGCAGGTAACACTTGAGCCCATGCAGCATAGCTCAGAGATAGGGACACTGCCACTACACCCTCTAGTTCCTCAGGGTGGATATTTTCTACCCAACCTGTTTGGAGATATTATTATATACTCCTAGAGCAGGTGAAACATGCATCCAGCCTCATGACTCAAGAGTTAGGGACACTACCACTACACTTTCTAGTTCCTCAGGGTAGTGTCCTCAGCCAAACCATCTTCAGCTGCTTTATGAATAGACATCCCTCCATCATTAGGTCGGAAGTAGAGATGTTCACTGATGATTGCACAATGTTCAGTGTCATTTATGCCTTCTCAGCCAGTAAAGGATTTTCCATTACAAATATGGACGGCTGAGTTTGGAATGGAAGGATAGGATAGGAAGGGCTTGTGGATGTAAAAAATGAACTTAGTACACAAGGAAGAACAGGTCATGTATTTTGAGTAACTCTGCTGCCCACTCAATCTGTAATCATATAATTTGACAGGCCATAGGCCAAAACCAACTGTGAAAAGAATTTTTGCAGGAGGGCACCAAAGATTTTCAGTGTGCTGTGATGAAGGGGTAAGAAGATAAATATACTTTAAGCTACTTGATGGTGTTTGTTGCAATAAGGAGGTATTGGTGACGCAAGACCACATATTTGGGAATTGGCATTTGTTTGGGCTCAGAAGCATTTCGGATAATTTTGTGTAACATTGAAAAATTAGCTTTTTCATTTTAATTCAGTAATTAATTAATGACTTAATTAACCTCATGTGTAACATTGATAGGTGGTGAAATGTAGGCTTGAAGGGAAGAGAACTGCATGGCTCTGGAGAAGAGATGTTGAACTAAATTGTACGCTGTCATCACTGGTCAATTTGTGGCATTTGGCAGGAGAGTGTATAAAATCCATCCAGTTCCCTTAATAGTCCAACAAGACCCCACTCCAGTTTTGCTAGTGGCAGGGTCTGCCTGCTAGTGGGTCAATGAATAAGGCCCTAATCCAGTCAGCTCTGGGATTTAACTGGAAGTGGGAGAGGCCCACACCAAGTGCCCAGTTTAGCAGGTTTCTTTGCACAGGCTGGTGGAAGGCAAGTGGGGTCCCTCCATAAAGGAGAGCCACCTACCCCCTCAAAAAATGTTACCCCTGGCAGGTCACCCTTTCTTCCTCACACACTCAAACCCCAATCCCTCACTGCCCTTTAACAGGGCCAGCCAGCTTGCACCCCATGAGATCCCAAAATACAGTATCACAATTTGGCGAAGCTCAACTCCTCATCGTCCAAGTGCAGTACCAGCAATGGCCACCACTCCTGGTGGGGTGCTGCTGGTAATGGTGATCTATTGGCAGTGGCCCCTCACTGCCCCAGTTTTGTTCAGCTGTGGGTCGAAACAATGGTACCCTGTAAAATTGTTGCTACTGGAGAGAATTGATGTTTCCTGTCGGTGCTCCTTGTGTTTAGATGGACATGTACTTCTCTTGGGGTTTTTTTTCTTCAGGATTTGTTGCCCTGTGTCAATCAAACTTCATTCAATACGTTGAGGAGAATCATGACAGTAGACCATTTACTGGAGCAGGAATTGGACAAAAAACAAGGAAGTAAGTGTCTAAGTGATAAATTCAGTTCATCATCCTTAATTTCCATTTAACTCCTTTTTGTCGTAATCTCTTCTATGTAAACACATGAAGGAATATTGGTAGATGTTGTAGTTATTCCCTGATATCATCTGAGATGCCTTGACATATTAGTATTAATTTAAGTTATTGATATCAAGTGAAGAAGGATATCCACACAAACTCTTTGGCAAGAGAAAGGCTCAGTCTTGTTGAACAGTGTAGGTTTATTACATAGTACTTAAGAGCTAGTTACATTACATCTGAATTATGCGAGAGTCTCTTGCAGGATTGTAGGATAGTTTTAAGAGTAAGTACACATTACTATTAGCTTGATAGGAATATTTTGTAACTGGTACTGGAAAACTCTGGTTAACTCATCTCGGGATGAGTCATTTATGTTCTGATGGTCAGAGCTTATCTGGTTAAACTTCCCAGGTAACTTTCTTGAACAAGCCTAAATTTTACCTGGTTGCTATTAATTCTGACATTAACACATACATTTCAAATGGGTTATTGCTGATTTAAAACAACGCTATTGAGAAAATAAGTTCCAGTCACTGGTGGCACATGTATATTCAGAACCAAAGAAATAGTAGCAGGCCATGTACGATATAGTCTTTCAAGCGTGCTTCCCCGCTCAATAACATGTCGGCTGATCCTGAACCTCAACTCTGCCTATCTGCCTGATTCCCGTATTTTATAATTCCCTTGTATTGCAAGATTCTATTGATCTCAGCCTTAAATGTACTCAACGGCTGAACATTTCGTAACTGTTTGGAGTGGAACTAAAAGCTAGTCCAATGGTGACCATGTAACTACTGTCAATTGTTGTGGAAAAACAATCAGGTTTGCTGGTGTTTTTTAGGAAGGGAAAACTGCTATCTTTTTCTGGTCTGGTCTACATGTGACTCCAGACATACAGTCATATGGTTGACTTTAATTGCCCTTTGGGTGGTTCAGGATGGGCAATAAGTGTTGTCAGGGCCAGCGATGCTCACATCCCATGAATAAATAAAAAACAGAGTTTGAGATATTAGTTCACCAATTGGATCACATATTTTAGGGAACCATATGCAAGACTTGACATATTCAATGAGTGTACCATCTTCTAAATACAATTTGGTTTGAAAATGCCTATAATATGACTTAGCATAGAATTCAACTTAGGTATTTCTGTTTACTCTAGTAATGTAGGTCAGACAAAACTATTGTTCACAGGATTCAACTACACAGTTACTGAGAATTTGAATTACAGTCCTTGCTGCTGTTACACCTGTTTGGTCAATGCAAATTGGCCGTAACACGATTGATGAATAGGTGAATGCTGTTTGTAAAACGCAAACTTTCACATACGTGTGTTGGCTATAACGTGATTCCGACCCCTCCCCCATCAAGTTATCTTCAAATTTTACCTTGGAAATTTACTGTATTATTTCTTTATTAGATATGAATCTAACATTTATTTAAACTGTGTTATCCTTTGTGTTAGGCTAACTACTATATTTGTTTTGATTTTCGGTAATATTTTTGGTGGTCTGCCTCAACCCTATTTTTTCCATAAGCCCTGTTACTTTTATTGTGCGATTTTCTATCACACGAGGTCACACAAGGATGCATTATAGCAGAAAGGACTGTATCCATACATTAATAGAAGCAGCTAATATTTACAAAAATGGCTTGGGTTAAGTTTGTCTGAATTTCATTTACAGGGGAATTGTTTGGGCATTTTCTTCATCTTAAACTCTGTGAGGTTTCCTGGATGTCAGGTAAGCAAATGTTTCATTGCTGAACAATTAATATCAAAACACTCCAGTTAGACTTGCTGCACATCCTATCTGAGTTTGTCTTCTTATTCTACAAGCCTAGGAAATAATTAAATATTTTTTAGTTGGATCACATTGTCCTTCTTGCTCATTTTATGGTGTTTATTTTACCCAATTAACTGAAGGAAATTCCTACAACTAGACAAGTTTAAAGTTAGGGAAGGGAAAGAGTTTTGCGGAAATATTGCTTGATGATTTGCAGGATGAACTCTCTTCTTGCGCCCATCCTTTTCTGTACTATGTTAAATGATCAAACTTTGATTAGGCCTGGACCTACCCCATCTGCCCACACTGAATCTCTTTGTAACCCCACTGACAACAGGAACTCATGGCCATGAATCTCCTGTGTTGAAACACTGCTGCACATTTGTTGTACTCTGAAGTCCAATTTCTCTCTGTAATCTTGGTAAGTGTTGCTTGCATGTTTCATGTGGTGCAGCATTATCTGCAGTGCATTGGGCACAAACTTCAGTTCAAAGGGGATCGTTGTCCTGCTGTTTTGCCATAATGCAGTTTCACCAGATGTATGACTTCAAAATTTTGCTATACTTTGAATGAAAGGAAAACGGTTTGCAATTATATAGCACCCTTTGCCTAAGAACATCCCAAAAGGCTTCAGAGTCTATGACACACTTTTAAAATGTTATCACTGTTATTGTAATGTAGGAAATGCAGCAATCAATTTGGGGACAGTAAGATCCCACAAATGGCACTGAGGTAACAATCATATCATCTGATACTTTGGGTGTTGGTTGTTGGATAAATACCGGCCAGGGCACTGGAAAGACATATCCAGCTCCACTCTGCAAAAGTTCCAGCAATATTTTTATGGCTTGTTTAGAGGGGAAACAGTTTAATGTCTCATCTAAAAGGAAGCATCTCTGACAGTACAATGGTGTCAGCCTAGATTAGGTGCTCATTTTTCTTGAAGTATTATTTGAACCCACTGTGATCAATTACTGTACAGCAACTGGTCAATTAGTAGTTTTGAAGCACTGATATTATTCCTACTGCATTGCAGCATTGCTAGCATGCAAATAACATGCAAATTGTGATGTATTTCCCCCATTTGCGTGATATCGTAACTTTTCTGACCATTTGGACTGTGAGTGTATTGTATACTCACTCCTGTTTCAAATATAATTTTAGACTGACAGAGGAAAGGGGTCATTATAACTGGATCCACTTCAAGACACAACACTTTCACTATTAGGTATGAACCATTTACTTCTACCAGTTGCTTCACTGAAGTCCTACAATCACCACATGCTCTGCTAGGTAACACCATTGTCAGCTGAAATAGAAAACAGAAGATACATGAATCGCACAGCAGGCCAGCTAAAGAGAAAGAAAGTTTCAAGTGTATATGTCAGAACCTCCACAGGAACTGATAGTGTTATTCCCAGTATATTAGACCTGGATTTCAGAACAAGTTTCCATGACTCTGCAATAAAAGATACAAAATATGTCTTCTACTTTCTCTTTTCTCATTGCTGTATTTCACTTTATCAATTCATAAATTAATGAGCTCCACTTGTGTCATTCCAAATAATCTTGAGAGACACACTTTTTTCTTTCTTTGCTTGTTTCATGTAGCAAAAAACTATCATATAGCAAAATGTAAAATAGTGAACACACTTCACAAGTGCACAAAACAGTCAAGAAAGCTAATGGAATGCTGGCCCTTATAGCTAGAGGACTGGAGTGCAAGGATGCAGAAGTTAAACAAAACCCTGGTTAGGACCGCACTTGGAATACTGTGAGCAGATCTGGGCACCATACCTTATGAAAGCCTTGGAAGGAGTAGGTTTACACAAATGATATCTGGACTTCTGGGGTTAAGTTATGAGGAGAGATTATACAAATCAAGCTTGTTTTCTCTAGAATTTGTAAGGTTAAGCGGCAATTTGATTGATGTTTTCAAGACATTAACAAGAAAAGACAGGGTGGACAGAGGTAGGCTTTTCCCATTGGTTGGAGATTCTAGAACTAGGGGGCATAGTCTGAGGATGAGGGCCAGACCATTCAGGAGCGAGGTTAGGAAGCACTTCTACACACAAAGAGTCGTGGATGTTTGGAACTCCATAAACAGCAGTGGATGCTGGATCAGTTGTTAATTTTAAATCTGTGATGGATAAATACTTGTTAAGCAAACGTATTGAGGGATATGGGACAAAGGCTGGTATGGAGTAGATCACAGATCAGTCATGATCTCATTGAATGGTAGAGCAGGCTCAAAGGGCTGAATGGCCTACTCCTGTTCCTATGTTCCTACTGTCTTCTCTAAATGATCACAAAAAAAACTCAAGGGGAATGGTGGTAAGAAAAGTCCTCATCTTCAGATCCTTCCTACATGCCAGGAGTCTTGTTCCTCAACATATTGCCTTTGAGGTGGTCTGGTGGGGAAGAGAGTGTTGTCTACCTCCTCGTGAAATGTGCCTTTGTGAAGACGGTCAGAAGAGACATATAGTGGTTTTTGTCGAGCTTCATCCTAACAGTTCCTTGATGTGGGACTCTGCTCTAAAGGCTATTCCCAGGGATCCACACTGAGACAAACAGCAGCTGTGCCTGGAGGAACATCAACTAGGCTATTTGAGCTGCAAAAATAAGAGATATATTTTGAGGAATAGATCATTTGCTTACACTGTCTGCAGTGACATAGCTGAGATTTGGGACTACACTTATTATTGGCCAACATTGGCTCTGGTCTGTAACCAGCAAACACCCTTATTCCCGAGAATTCTGCATTCCTCCAGTGCTGTCTCTTGTGTATCTGTGACCTCCTTTTCCCAAATATTGGTTGCCAGGTTTTCAGCCATTCATGAACTAGGTCTGTGATTCACTCTTGAATCCTCTCAGCCTCTTCATCTTTCCTCTATTAAATCATTCCTTAAACCTACCTGTTTGACCAACTTTTTGGTCAACTCTCAAAACGTTGTCTTCTCTAACTTGGTGTAAAATGTATGTCTAACGATGCTCCTCTGAAGCTGCTTAGAATGCTTTATTGCATTATAGGTGCCATATAAATGTTGTTGAGTTGGCGTTGGTTACACAAAATCAATTTCACTGAGTGAAGACCTGTACTCCAGGGATTTATGAGGTTGAATGATGATGGACTTTGGATCTAAAACATGTCAGTCTGTGGAATTAATTTTTAATGTAATGAATACAGTGGGAGTGTTGGGTGGGAGGGCTGTAAAAATTTCATCTATTTTCTTTATCAGATCATTGCACTTGTGGTGAAGGTGACAGTTTATCCAGTTGAGACTATGTTTGAGCTTCAGCGCAAGGTGCTACCTGCTGTTTCAGACGACTGTATACATTGTGTTGATACAAAAGAAATCGTATTTCAAACCAAACTGCAGTAACATTGAAGAGATTAGTTCAATATCAGATTGTTTCCACGATGTATTAGTAATCATTCTTTATATCTTTCAAATCAACAAAGATGACCATTTCAACACAAATGGAGGAGCATCTGCTCTGAATCTGTCTGCAGTATATCTGGGTTTTGTGAAGTTGGCAAAAAACTCCTCAGTTTTGCAGCAGGTAATGTTGTTTGTCTTTTTTCTAAATGGAATGGGAAGGGGCATGATTTAACAATAATCTGCTGATTCGCCACAACTGCTAAAGACTGTTTTCATGTTCTGTATGCATACAAAATGTATAAGTGATTTTTAAAATCTGTTTAGAAAGCATTTTAAAAAGCTTGAATCTTGCATTATGGAATGATTTTCAACTTCTCCTCAAACAGCATTTTCCACTCAATGGGATTGTAATGGTCTTAATATTTTCAAAATACATTCCATGTCAGATACAGCCTGAGGGTGAAAACTACTTAAATTGCAAATTACAGCAAGTTCAAATATCTAAAATACTCCTCTATAACACTGTGGCACACCCTTATATGTCTCAAAACATAATCACCCCGGAGAATTTTTATCTTCTCACACTGTGAAATATTAGAGTTTTCTTTATATCCTGGCAAATCTTGTCACATTCATGGCTATTTATGTGACTATGTATCTTTAAACTCATTCACTGGTCATTTTCAATATTTGATGTTTCATACCTATCTACCTCTTTCTCTTTTGTGCAATAAACTTTCATGTTCTGTTGTAAAAGAACATCTTATAACCTCATGTCAATATGTTTGTGATTCACCAGCACGTTAAATATCTAAAATTTAAAATTAAGCATATGATTAATCAAGTGAGGTTGATCCTGGTATATGAGCTGTCCAGTAATACCAGCAACAGGGATCATAACAAACATACAGAACATGAAAACAGTCTTTAGCAGTTGTGGTGAATCAGCAGATTAATATTAAATCATGCCTCTTCCCATTTCATTTAGTCACAGAGTCATAGAGATGTACAGCACGGAAACAGATATCCTAAAATTAATCTAATCCCATTTGCCGGCATTTGATCCATATCCACCTAAACCCTTCCTATTCATGTACCCACTTAGATGCCTTTTAAATGTTGCAATTGTACCAGCCTCCACCACTTCCTCTGACAGCTCATTACTTACTCGCACCACCCTCTGTGTGAAAAAGTTGCCCCTTAGGTTCCTTTTGTATCTTTCCCTCTCACCTTAAAACTATGCCCTCTAGTTTTGGACTCTGCCATGCAGGGAAAAGACCCTATCCATGTCCCTCATGATTTAATAAACCTCTACAAAGTCACTCCTCGGCTTCTGACACTCCAGGGAAAATAGTCCCAACCTGTTCAGCCTCTCCCTATAGCTCAAACCCTCCAACCATGGCAACATGCTTGTGAATCTTTTCTGAACCATTTCTAGTTTCACAACATCCTTCCTATAGGAGGGAGACCGGAATTGCACACAGTATTCCAATAATGGCCTTACCAATGTCCTGCAACATGACCTCCCAATTCCTTTACTCAATGCACTAACCAATAAAGGCAAGCATACCAAACAACTTCTTCACCCTCTAAGCCAAAAATGCAATGTAAATCAATCTATTGATTCAACACAAAACTTGTTTTCATTATTGGCTATGAGCTATTCAATTCTGCCAGTTGCCTTACTATAGTCTAACAATCACCACATGCTCTGTTAGGTGACACCATTGTCAGCTGAAATAAAAAACAGAAGACGCATGAATCACACAGTAGGGCAGCTAAAGACAAAGATCTGGATTTCAGAACATGAGATTTCACAGCTGAGGGAGAAAAGACAAGATATTTCTTCTATTTTCTTTTTTTAAATGCTGTTTTCACTTTATTGCTTTCCAACTGATGAGCTCCAGTTGTATTGTTCCAAAGGATTTTGAGAGACAATACTTCATCCTTCACTTGCCCCATGTGACAAAACACTATTACAAAACAAAGAGTAAATAACAGAACACTTCTCCACTTCCTGCCTTCTGTAAATGATCAGAAAAAAATCAAAAACAAACATGTATAAATCATTATGTGGAAAGAGCCTGAATTAAAAAATTTTCACACCTGCATGTTTAGTATAGAATAATCTGCAACATTCTTTAAATTTTGATCATTGATAATACCAAACACAATGGTGTGACCAGCAAACTCAGCTATTGGACAGTGCAATAAATTATTTTTCAGAAATTCAAGGGTAGAAATTAATGATCTAACATTGTGATGTCGATGAGAAATATTTTTTAAAAAGTTTAATTGATTGCACTGAATTAGTAATGTGGAACATTATTATAAAGGAGTTACACATCTCTTGTTTGTCATGATTTTGCAGGTAAAGAATACAGTCCAGAATAACCTGATCCCATTGTTACCTCGATCTCCAGCTTGTGTGGAGATATTGCAAGTTTATATTTTAATACCGGAACTCATTGCTGTTCTGGAAGAACCAAGGGACTCCGCAATGCTGTAGAATCTTTAAACAGATCCATTCTCTCACTTGAAGACAGTTATCTTAAAATTTTTGGTAAGTTTTAACATTTAAACATGATTGCAAACACAGCTGGTCATAATTAAAAGAAAAAAATTCAAAAATAAAGTCGACTTTCACAGTTCCTCCTTTACAGCGCTCCCAAAAAAAGCAGAATTGGTTGTAAAGCCCTTGGAGAGAGATGGAGTTCGCGAAGGGTTCTATGTAAATGTAATTCTTTGTGTATATTCTATATTGCCTTCAGAGACTAGATATCTTGGGTGACAATGACCGGATAGGATGCTGAAGCAGTAATGCATCTCCTGATCAGAACTTTGGGAGAAAAGCTACATTGTCACAGTCTCCATTGAAGGTCAAACAACTGATCCTGACCTCTCTGGAGGAAAGTATCAGCAAATTGAGTACCATGACTGTTTGAAGGATGGCACCCACTGTTCTATGTTTGTGATCAGTGACCAAGTAGGAGGCTGTGTTTTATTTTACACAAACATTTCTGTGCCATTTCTTTATACAATGTTGGTGGTGTACAATGCTTTATTATTTCCTCGTGCACCTTGTGAGGATGTACCAGAAAGAATCACATCACCTCCTTCAACTCACAATGACTGGCACCTTACAATACAATCCCCAACTATAACTACAAAATCTTACAAACACTTTACAAGTTTGGTGCAAATTTAAGCTTTTCTGGTTACTCTTCTACACCTTTAGCAGGCCTGTTACCTTTCACTGGGACTCACTTCTTTGCCATCTACTGTCCAATCTTCAACAGATTCCTGAGAACCTTCTTGTATAATTACTTTTGTTAGTTTTTCACCTCTATAGTGAAACAGGGTGGGTTGTTTCAACTCGGAGATAGTGAATATGTGGAATTCTTTCCTTCTGAGTGCTGTTGAGGTTGGGTCATTAAGCATATTCATGGTTGAGATAGACAGATTTTTAATCAGTACGGGAATCAAGAATTATGAGGAAAAGGCAGGAAAGTGGAGTTGAGGATTATCGGGTCAGCTGTTATTGCACTGAATGAGGTACAGTGGCTCAGTGGTTAGTACTACGGCCTCACAGCGCTAGGGACCTGGGTTCAGTTCCATCCTCAGACGACTGTCTGTGTGGAGTTTGCACATTCTCCCTGTGTCTGTGTGGGTTTCCTCTGGGTGCTCTAGTTTCCTCCCACAGTCCAAAAATGTGCAGGTTAGGTGGACTGGCCATGCTAAATTGCCCATGGTGTCCAGGGTTATCCAGGCTAGGTGGATTAGCCATGGGAAATGCAGGGTTACAGGGATGGGCTAGAGGCTTGGGTCTTGAATGCTCTTCGAAGGGTTGATGTGGACTTGATGGGCTGAATGACCTGCTTCCACTGTGGGAATTCTACCTACTTCTGCTTCTATGTGTTATTGTCTTACACGTAAAGTGCTCTTTTATATCTAACCATTGCCCTTGACATTCAATCGCATTACCATTGCTGATGTCCCACCCCCATCAACATTCTGGGGGTTACCATTGGCCAACAGCTAAACTAGACCAGCTGTAGAAATGCTGTGGTTACAAGAGTAGGTGAAAGGCTGGAAATTTTCCATCTGACTCTTCAAAGCCTGCTCACCCATCTATAAAGCACAACTCAGGAGTGTGATAATATACACTCCACTTTCCTGGATGAGTGCAGCTCCAACAACACTCAAAATGTTCAAAACCATCCAGAGCAACGCAGCCCACTCAATTGGCACTCCCTCCAATATTTTCAAGACCCTTTCCCTCCACCACCAACATAGTGGCAGTAGGGTGTGTCATCTGCAAGATGCGCTGCAGCAACACACCAATTCTCTTAAAACAGCACTTTCCAAATATTCGACCTCTACCACCTAGAAGGAAAAGGGTACAGATACATGGAAATACCACAACTTGAAAGTTCTTCTCCAAACTGCCCATGATACTGTCCTCAAACTATATCACCGTTCCTTCAAAATCCCAGAACTCCCTCTGTAACAGCATTGTGGGTGTACCTATGCCACATAGATTACAGCAGTTCAAGAAGGTGACTCGCTATCTCCCTCTTCAAGGCAAGTAGGGATGAGCAACAAATGCTACTCACATTATGTGAATGAATTTTAACAAAAATGTAGAAATAAATCCAAATTTGCTGTTGTATGTGGAATATGGCAGCCAGGGTTGAGAAATGTAGATTGCACCAATGCTTGAACCTTATGACAGAATAAAGTATGACTTTGCCTGTTAGTTACATGATACAATAGAGATGGGATTGATGAGTAATCATGGCAAACAGCACCTATTGTTTACTCTACTGATAGGAGCAAATCCCTAGAAGTAAGGAACTTTTGCAACTGTAGGTCCAAATGGGTGGAATTTATTATCTTGTGTGTGTGTGTGTGTGTGAGAGAGAGAGAGAGAGTGAGAGAGAGACAGAGAGAGGCATTGTGTGTGTGTGTTTGTCTGTGTGTGTGTGTGTGTGTGTGTGTGTGAGAGAGAGAGGCTTTGTGTGTGTGAGAAAGAGAGAGAGAGTGAGAGAGTGAGAGAGAGGCTCTGTGTGTGTGTTTGTCTGTGTGTGTGTGTGAGAAAGAGACAGCGAGTGAGAGAGAGGCTCTGTGTGTGTGTGTGTGTGTGTGTGTGTGTGTGTGTGTGTATATACATGTGTGTGTGTGAGAGAGAGAGAGAGAAAGAGAAAGAGGCTCTGTGTGTACGTGTGTGTGTATGAGAGAGTGTGTGTTTAGAGGACAGGATGTGCCTGCCGACCCAGCCAACAGTTGAGGCTCTTAACAAGCAATTAATGTCCACTGAAGAGCTTCACCCACCACCACTGGTACTCACTCAATAGCGTGTCAATAACTTGATTTGCAAGAAGACAGAAAGTAAACTTTGGTTGTTTGCTCGCCCCCTTCTGATATGGGGGCTGGTGGTTGCTTCTCTCTGTTCCCCATTGACATGAGGAAAGGGAATGTCACTGAGAGGAATCCCATTTGCCTTTTCTATCGATCTTTCCATCCCACCCCCCAGATCTCCATCCCATGACTTCCATCTGCCATGATTCATCTGAATCCATGGTGATCCTGGGCATTGGGAGGTCTGGTACCAGCAGCAGTTACCACTTTGCCAGTGGTACCACCCTAACAATGATCGGCTGCCAGTATCCGATTGACCAGGCACTCTTGATGGACCGAACTTCCTACATCAGGGTGCTTGATCTCAGGAAAGGACCATCACTGACCAGTTCAGTGATTAATACCACAAGCCAGGAGTCTCACCAGCTCCTATCCAACAGGAGGAATTCTCTTGCACCCATTAAATGCTGCCCCTTATGCACTATGCACTTATGCACTAAATCTCAAAATGTCAATTAATGTTTAATTATTTTGCTGATAGGTAAATTCTTGCAGATGTCACACAATTCTAGAGAGAAATTTCTGCATTCCAGTTATGAAAATGTTTACAGATTCTTTAACGGTAAGCGGACACCTCCACCCCATGAATGAATTAAAAAATAAAATTACTGCAATCCATTTCAAAGGCTACAGAACAATATTAAAAGTAAGGCTCAGCAGCTTTAATGTTCACATAAAGCAGCCATTGTTACGCAGGTTTACAACAAGTGCTGGCCCCTCCTCAGCAAACCTCCACTGCAGGGACCTCAGTACAAGCCACTTAGACATTTGTTGCATTTTACAAAGGAGTGTCTGCTCTGCAGACTAATCAATGGTATACCTATCCATATCTGTTTGTAGATATCCATCAGTAGTGTGGAAGGATTTGCAGGCTGGCAATCAACCTGTGTCAAATTCACAGCCATGGCCAACAAGCCCAGGTGTGGGATTTGAACTCAGAGTTTCTATCTCTGGAGTAGGGACACTACCCTGGCACCACAAGAGCTCCTCTTAAGTGGTGGTTTTGTCACTTTATTCTCAGCAAATGAGGAGGCTGTTGCTTAATTTGTTCTAGGAATTGGCATTCTCTAAATAAAGAAAATAACTAATTAAATGCTCACATTTTCTTTACCTTTGATTTGATGTAAAATTTGATGGTATCAACACCAAAGTAGCATTTAGAAAGTATGCTCACTTCTACTTATTTTCATGTAATTGATTTCAGGCATTTGCTGTGCAATGCTTTGCCAAAACTCCTCTAACAGTGACAGATCAATTCATAAATGATGTATGTGTTTTGTGAGCAGTATAAGTCAAATATGCTGAAAGCCACTGGGCAATTAATTATCTTTGACTAATAATACAATACTATGCCATTTGCACTATTTCTTTGGTTCCCTTGGCAACAATGCCTTCAGTTGCCTTTGCCCTAAATTAATTTGCTAGTTTTAGTTTCAGGAATTGAAGTTTTAGATAAGATGTGAGCATAATCTGTTTTTGCAAAAACAGTCAATAATGGGTACACCCTTCCTGACTTTCTTGGTAGAGATGAGATGTTTATAGTGGTTTTTAAAAGAGGTTCACATTATTCAAGTGGTCCCAATATAACGTAAAGAAGTGGGTAAACAGGAATAGTCTCAAAGTATCTGTTGTATTATTGCTTTAAGAGCTGTATTGCTTTAATGAGCCTAGGACCAGAATGAAACCATTTGGCTGAGTGCCTTATGTGGTGAGGTCAAAGCATGTTAGAGTCAGGATACCTACATGGCCATTGGCACCTGCATACTCTGGTCAGAGCTGTTAATATACTCGCATGAGCTTTTCAAATAGACTGACTCCTGTTATAATTACCCTTGACAAAATAACTATGATAGTCTCCATATTCTTTTCAAATCAAATGACCAGTTTACAACTGAAGTCTGTATCTGAGAGATTCCAAATATAACAGTTGCCATGGCGTTAGGTTGCAAGGAGGCAGTCTTTTGCTTTGGATTTATATCTATGTTTTTCTCACAGCCATAGTCAGTCAGCTTGGAAGGCTATGAAAAGGTCTAACAGCCACAGTAAGAAGCACTGAGGTCATTAGGAACCAGAGTGTTCCTGAGTTTGAGTTACGAAACAGAAACAGCATGTGCCCAATCACAAAATAAGAAGTCCAAATTCCTAAAGAATTAACATTGTCAAATCTGCCTAGTGAAGTTAATGGAAGGGATTGGCAGTGGGATCCACAGAGAGAGAGAGAGAGAGAGTGTGCTTTGGAATTCTAAGTTCCAGGCTGGAAAATCAAGGTGAATGGAAATTAAATGGGAGTTCTTGGGTGGAACTATAACAGGATGGGAATTCTGTCAAGATGTTTTGGATTAAATAAGAATTTACTAAATATAGTATCCAGTTGGTAATACATTGTTTGTTCAGTTCTTGTACAGTGGCTTTTTTGTTTAAAACATGAAACCATGTGGTATTATGAGTCCAACATGGCGGCAGCAAAACACGTAGATTTCTAGCTCTTGAGCCTGGGATTTGCCTGCTCCATTCACTTTTCTTTTTCGTTTCTTTGTTATTTTTTCTCTCTCCTTTTTAATTTTACTTACCTTCCTATCAGCGGCAGTGAGATGGGTAAAGCATGGACTTGTAGCGGCAGCGGCGGGGTCAAGTTTGGGCTTGGTGTGGACCCGGTGGCGTTGGCGGCAGCTGCATCAGTGAGGTTGGCCGAGAAGACGGAGTTGAGTTGGGCCTAGTGCAGGATTTGGCAGTATCAGCATTGGAGCTTGGCAGCATCGCAAGGCCAGCCCAGCAAGGACACATGGTAGTGGTGGCGTCAGGGGAGGCAAGATGGTTGACAACATGGTTCCAACGGTGGCGATGCAGTGAAGGGACTCGAGGCTGACTAACTGCTTCATGCTCTTGACAGTCTGGGTCCAGGCCCATGGCTAAACACTTAACAAGAAGGACGGTAAAGTTAAATATCTCTTTATTTTCTGCCTTTACTTTCTATGTTTTGGTTAATTTTTCTGCGTTTCAAGATGGCGCTGGAGCGTGGCAACAGTAACAACACTTTTCATTGTATTTCACTGTACAAAGTACATGTGACAATAAATAGATCAAATCAAATCAAATATTCCTTTGGCCTGACTAAACACTAGAATTCTTTCCCCAAGTCTTGTCTTCTTCCTTTTAAAGTGTCTCGAGAAACTTATATGTTTGCACAAGTTTTCAGTTATCTCAAAAACTTGTTATGGGACTCGCTGTCAAATTTTATTTGATGATTCCTCACGTGAAATACCTTAGAAAGTTTTCCAATATTAAGACAGCGATATGTTATACTTGGGTCTGAAAGAGTTAATGCTGAGGAGTGCCATTAACACCATCCATAAAAATGACTTGTGAGGTAACAGCTTAGGATCTTGGAGAAGTGAGATCTAACATCTGATCCTCCTCAAAGTCTCTGTAACAGTGTTTATTCTAGCAATGGAACCTGCAATCAATCAATAACGTGCCATAATCTACATTAAGTTAACTCGAATACATTCTAGTTAAAGCAAGAAGTAGTTTTTTCTATCACACTAAATCAAACAGGCCCCTACACTTAAAGAAGATGGTGGCAGTAACCTTCTGTAGTGTAGTGAGCTGGATTGCCCATACAACACTATAGAAATCTATAGACACCCTGGTCCATACTTCCTTCAGCCCCAACACCTCCCCACAGCCCTACGGCACCTTCTCCTGTAACCGGCGAAGGTGCAACACCTGCCCATTTACCTCCTCCCTCCCCACTATCCAAGGGCCCAAACATACCTTCCAGGTGAAGCAACACTTCACCTGCACTTCCAAGAATCTAGCCTACTGCATTCACTGCTCACAATGTGGTCTCCTCTACATTGGGGAAACGAAGCGTAGACTTGGCGACCACTTCGCAGAACATCTACATTCTGCTCGCAGAAAAGACCCTGAACTACCTGTTGCCTGCCACTTCAACGCACCACCCTGTTCCCTGGCCAACATCTCTGTCTCTGGCTTGCTGCAGTGTTCCAGCGAAGCCCAACGCAAGCTGGAGGAACAACATCTCATTTTCCGTTTGGGGACCCTACAGTCCTCCGGACTCAATATTGAGTTCAATAATTTTAGGGCCTAAACTCTCCCATGTCCCAGCCCTCCACCCACACACCAGACCTTGTTACCACATAGCCTGCCATTACACACCCTCTGTAGTTAGTCACTAACAGTCCCCATTAACAACTATTCACCCTCCCAGCCTGATCGTTAGCAACTCTTTGTCTGTCCAACTGTCTTTCTCTCTCTTTGGGCTCTATCCTATCGTTTACTCCCTATCCCACCCACCTCCCTATTTTCTGCATGTAAACTGATGTTTTCCCAGCCACCATCAGTTCTGAGGAAGGGTTACCGGACCTGAAATGTTAACTCTGTTTTCTCCTTCACAGATGCTGCCAGGCCTGCTGAGCTTTTCCAGCAACTTTGTTTTTGTTCCTATAGAAATTTAAGTTGTTATTCTAAGATGGCGGACTTTAGAGAGGCAACGTTTATCGTTCCAGAAAGAGGATATGTTTGTACGTAGGTAAAAAGCAGCCCAGGAGATCTTTGCAATTGATCTTAGCTTTCTCCACTGAGGTCCACAGGTAATGAGAGGCTGTTATATGCCACACAAACCAGAATGCGAACAGTTTAAACAATATCTTTGCACTACAGGTTCTCTCAGTTGCATACTTGTCTTTGTAAACAACGATCATTTTGTTATATGGTTTTTCTCCCCATCTTATGTAGCAGTTTGTGGGCCAAGAGAGCAGAGAAGAGCTGCTCTCAGGCCATACCGAAACGAATTGAGAAGAGATGTGGCTGTTTCCCCTGACTTGCTCTCTGTGGGGATGTATTTGTCCCTGTCATTCCAGTCAGCCAGCTTAGTGGAAGAACAGGCTAGCAAAGACAAGTTACCTCATCCAGCTCTCATTATTATCCTTGGGTTTCTTCCACATGCTGATTACGCTTCTGTCTTCTGCATTTTATGTTTCTGCAATGTTGATTTGAACACTGTAAAGTCCCCATTCTAAATCAAATTTACTTTGGGAAACGTGAGACTGTTGAGCTTATTCCCAGCTCCCTATGTTTTGTTTTCAACAAACTCACTCAGAGAATCTCTAATGTATTTTTACGTTAGTGAGAAATTTTGGCTACTCCGCGAAATGTGGCTTTTCTCGAAGGTTTTGCATATTATCTTTTCAATTTGCCTGTGAATTTTGCAATTTTTTGGAAGAGGAATCAACTCTCCAGAAAGCCATGACAGTGTATATCAGGTGGAGGTCCAAAACTAGCATACTGTACATAAAGTGAAACTGGAACAGTGAAAGAGCATCAGTGGAAAGTCTGACAGGAGGGAATACATGAAATGGAAATCTTTCGTTATTATTTTGTAGAATTATTTATGTAAATGTGTGTGACTGGTTTTGATTAAGGTACAGTGAGTAGATTTATGATTACAGTTTATTTATTGCACAGAACAGAGAAGAATGAATTCCATATCACGCATCTTTGATATGAAAACAAAACTTAAATTATGGAAAATGGAATCCCTAATGCTGCAGAAAGTAGGTGTTTATGTTTTGAAGAAGTGCATTCTAAATATTCGAACACCCAAATACAAACATTCAGATTGACAAGTACAGTGTAAATGCAACACATTAATAATAACGCTACCAGCTAATTCTGTTCCTATTTCTCATGTATCTAAAGGAGCACAGGAGCAATTCAAGAGCTTAAAGTCACATTGCAAATTAAAAGAGAGTTTATGATGCCTACTGAGGTGAACCTGGCATTGGCATTTATACCGATGCTGCTGCAGTCTCTCAAGACATACCATCAGAACTTATGGGTGCGAGAGCACCCTTCCTCGTGCCCTGGTCAGAGGACTGTTGAGGCTGGGTCATTAAATATATTCAATGCAGATTTTTAAACAGGAGTGGAATCAAGGGTTATTTGGAAAAGGCAGGAAAGTGAAGTTGAGTGTTATCAGATCAGCCATGATCTCATTGAGTGGCCTACTTCTGCTCCTATGTTTTATGGCACAAAACAAGCAGTAGTCTCTCATCATACACAATGGAAAGGAAACTGTATGGTTAATTCACTAGTAGAGCGGCCATGGTCCCAGAGGGCAATAGGGACATCTCTGTCATTTAGAGAGAGAAACCTGGTGGTGCTTTGAGTGAGCGCATCACCATGCCTCAGGTAAGGCTGAGCAGGCAGGATCTTCATGGTGACCTCAGGACCAGGGTAGGAATCGAACCTGCACTGTTGGTATCACTGAACATCACAAACCAGCCCTTGAGCTGACTGAGCTAACCAACCCTATCACCTAATTCACCACTGACCAATACACAGCACCTCTAAAGTAGAACATTTTGACACCTTTCCACCTGATATTTTAGCCGTCAATTTAGATAGTGTGGTAGACCTAGTTATCATCATCTCACTTCACAGATAAACGTACAAATGGGAAATTAGAATGCACTGTAATGCCAATCCATGGCAGTTTTGTCAATTCTTTCTGTCTTTCTTTCTATGTGCATTTGTAAAGTGGAACTTACATGTGAAATAATTTATTTCGGCAATCCTTTGTATCTGAACTAATATTATTGCTGCGAGTTTCCAGAGATGCAGTTCTTCGGAATGTGCTGGACAGTTTAAGGTCCCAAGGAACAGGAGATCAATATGTTGCATTCCAGGTACAGATCTGCTACATTTCATTTTCATTTGTGACTTTTTTCTGCATCTGACCCACAATCAGTCAAGACAATATGAAGATAGATTTAAATATTGGCATTGCATGGAAAGTGAAAGCTGTAATTTAGACACCTTTTAAAAATAATTTTGATCACTACTTTGAGAGAACTTATCTCAGTTTGGGAAACGTAAGTTGAATTGCTTGTGCAGAGATGATTTTCTGCAGAACAGGCGAAGGAGTTGGAAGTTATTTTAGCTGCTAGGGTATGGGATGTAAAGGGCTTTTTTCCAATTTTACCCCATTTAGCAACTCTAAAAAATGACTTGAGAAATGAAAACATGTGGAATAAAACAATTTTCCTACTAGGAAATATGCAATAAGGATGTGTTTTGTTTCTGGTCCAAAAATCATCTTTATTTGCTGCTTTCCCCCTTCTTGATGACCATTCACCATCTATTGTTCATATCCAAAATCCCTTACTCCCTCACTGTCACCACTTCACTGGATTCCCTTGCTGTTTCTTGCTTTTCCTGCCTTCCCCCAACTCTCAAGCCCACCAAGCTGTACCATAATAATCCTTCTCCCACGTAGATTTGGCCCTTTTTGTAGACGATCAGTCTTCCCTATATTTCATCCCCTCAACAACACCGCTCTCCCTCAGTGCTTACAAAAGTTGAAGTTTCTGAAGTCCTAATAAACAAGACACTCGTCACACATGCCATTTCTTTATCCCCTGTCTTGCCACTTAATTCTCACAGTAACAACCTCGTATTCTACAGCGCATTTGAGATCGAGCTCTTGATGGATGTGGATCACTTTAGTCTGATATTGGCAATTCACTGGCTTTTAAGACAAAACAAAAACCGGCAAGTTCAGGCATCCCTGTTCTCGGCCTACTTCTCCTTTTA